GCGTAGCGCGCACATATTAAAGTCTAGTAATACGAAAAAGAACGAAGAAAGTAAGAAGGTAAAGCGAAGTAAATAAAATAGCTAAAAGTGAATCGAGCCATATTGGATATTTTATAGCGCATAGTCGAGGGAGAGTCAAACGAGCCGATTCGCAGCTCTAATTACGCATGTCAGACATCGAGACATTACGCGCGCGCGCGACTTCGTTAATAAAATCCCCCCATCCCTCTTGTCTAGTGCCTATTCAGATCCGCAGCTCGCTCTAATGTCTCGGGCGCCTGCCATCAGAAACTGCGAGGCAGAGATGCTATAGAATCTGCTCTGGACTCTCTCTCTCTCTCTCTCTCTCTCTTGCGCTCGTTTATATTCGCGCGAACGTCATAGCGATCCTTTATAGTACTGAACTATTACACTAGGCGCTCGCTGCCAGAGAGAGAGAGAGAGACTTTATATGTTATATAGAGGCAGTAGCTGGGCTAGTTTGGCCCGTCCGAGCTTTGACATTGCAATTTCGCCGGAAGGAGAGAGAGAGCGGCAAAGAGACGAGGCGTACTAAACTTCTCTCTCTCTCTCGCTCGCTCGTATCCGCTAATATCGTTTCGAGAAATATAATCATGATTATTGCGCGGTGTATACACAGTAGTAGTATGCATACACACAGCGTTTATACGAGAGTAGGTATAACGACGAGGCGTTAGAGACGAGATTTAGGCAATCATATTGAAGCGGCTGCAGCGGCGGCCTGAGAGCTAGCTCTGTGCTCAGCAGCGGCGCACTCTCGGCGCTGTATCATGAATAAATAACGAGATTTTCATTGCGCGCGCGAGGATAAGATTTCTTTTTCCACGCGGAGCGAGGAAACTCGCAGCGGTGTTGCGCGAGAGGAAAGTGGCACGCGATATAAAATAACCTTTTCCTCCTGGTTTTCTTTTTTTTTGTTTGAGGGTGGAGTGAAACTTCTTTACGCGTGTTGGGTAGGAGAAGTGAAAATCTGTGAAATAAGATCGAGCGAAGGCGATAATCGGTAGGAATATAGATTTCTCTGAGGATGAATCTTTTTCGAAATGTCATTGAAATGATTTAAGATTAACGAATCGATTTGAAGCAATTAATGTGTGGATTCAACAATTGGATTGGAACATCTTCGTTTCAAGCAAGTAACGAATAAACCGTATATAAGAGTTTATTTTGTCCTAAAATGATTTTTCGTCGTACTTGATTATGAGCTTTTGGATTTCGTCAACAGATGGCGCATTGTAAACTCACAAGTGGCTAAAATAATTCCAATTAGTATATAAACGTATTTGTTACGTCATAGCAGTCGGTATTATTTATAAGAAATTTTTTCCCGCCTCAATAAAACGATGATCTATTAACTTCATTGATTTAAATGCTTCAAAAGTATCCACGCGGCAAATAGATAACTCGTTTGTGCGCACCGAATCCGCAGCTTTTACAACAAAAAAAATATATAGATATCAATCTATTTGTACATGTGCGCGGCATCCGTCATTCTGTCGCTTTTGAATATTTCAGCTCGCGCATTAATACGACAACTAACACGTTGTCGATGTATACCAGTAGGAGAGAGAGAGAGAGAGACTTTTTGAAAATGATTCATACATAAACGAGAGATAGAAAGGGGGATTATCGCACACGTGTGCGAAAACTGGGACACGCGCGATGTTTTATTTTTTGCCTCGTGTGCGCCTTTCGTTCCCTTTTTTTTTTATCAGTGGATACGGTACGTATAAAAATCGAAGAAATATCTATATCGAATGAAAATGTACTTTGGTACACATCGCGTGTCTTGGATGAGATAAAAAACAAGGATGAAAAAAAAATTACAGAGCTCGAGCGCGCGCGGGGCTCCTCCACACAGTGTACTACGATCAGCAGAAAGGAAGCATCGAAGAGAGAGAAACGATATTATGCGTGAAACAGTGCCAAAGAGTGACAGCCAGGCGCGCACACGAGTTATAATCAAATATACGATGTGTACGGAAGCGAATAAATATATTATATAGCACAGAGAGACGTATATAGATATGGAAAAAGGAGAGGAGAGATCGAGATGTACGTGATTCGAAAAATGCAATCTTTCCATCTATATACATGCGGGTGTGAGTGTGTGTGAGTAATAAAATTTATATCTGCAGCGATGGTAGTAGACGGCTAGTAGTAGGAGAGTACGCGTGGTCAGACTTGCCAAAGCGCGGCGGCCCCCAAATCAATCGCTATTCATTCCTTTTAAGAATCAAATGGCTATAAATGTCTGTCTGCAGCAGGGGGGGGGGGGGGGGGNGGGGGGAGAGAATCGTGGGTATAGTAGGGGGTCGCTCACAAAAGGGGAAAAAATACTCGCTCGTCAAAATAGCCGTCAAGAACGCGGCCGCGCGCGCATCTTCGTCCCGTCGCCTATATCATCCTCTTGAGCAAAAGTTCGGGGTATTAAGGTAGAAAAAAGCGGTTGGCTGCTGCCGCTGCTTTCAAAGGCGTATACACTACTCCAAGCTCCTTCTTCTTCTACTGCTACTCTTCTTCTTCTACTACTTCTTCTTCTTCTTCTGCTTTAACGTCAAAGAAGAGAGTCTCGAGGCGAGATATATCTATATGGAAGCTGCATCTCGCTCGAGGCTAAAACTTGGCCGACACGTTTCCGCACTCTCGCTGTCGCCGGACAGCACACAGCCATACGCACACTAATACACACATACATACATGAGCTAGCGCAGACGGCTATCACACATAGGGGTAGAAGAAGTTTTTCCAGTGTTTATAATTAGGAAGGAGAGAGAGAGGGAGAGAGGGAGAGAGCATATATATACGCCATTGTCGGAGCCGATCGTCGCCAACGCCGCGGCCGATTTTGCTGACGCCAACCTTAGCCAACTTACAATACTTATACACCTATAACTTGTGTCCGTGTGCGCGCGAGTATCCCTGCGCCACCATTTCTCTCTCCCTTTATGTGTGTGTGCGACTCTCTCTCTCTCTCTCTCCGACTTGTGTGTAAAAGAAAAGGTTTGTACACGCGACTATCCACTCGAGCACGTACACGAGGCGAGGCGCTTTTCTTACTACTTCTTTTTTTTTTCTCTTTTGCTTCAACCTCTCGCGAGAGCTAGCTCGCTCGCTTGCTGCAGTAGCAGCAAAATGTCTTGAAAGACTTTTACATTGTGCAGTGCTTAGATAATAATGTCTGCGACGAAGTGAGTCGAATGTATGTCGGTGCTCCGAGAAAGAGAGAGAGAGAGAGAGAGAGAGAGAAAGAAAAACACATTCGAGACTTTGTGCTGCGGCGCGATGTACATATAATAGCAGCAGCTCGCGAAGAGAGAAACACTCGATATTTGTGACAATTCGATCGTTTGACCTGCTGCTGCTGCGACTGCGGACTCACTTTGTCATTCTGTTTAGTGGGGAAACGACTCGAGAATAGCTATAACTTTAATCGACGATTTTTCAACATTTGAAGAGATTCTCGATTAATTATGTATCTCTATGCAGAAACGAAAATCCACTTTGATTCAGAGCAAATCCTTTTAACGATATCGTTTGATAATTCATGCGTTAATTCGTTTACCGATACACGCGCGGTAAATAATTTAAAAAAAAAAAACAAAGTAAAGCCACGTCATCTAAAAGCGCAAGCGAATAATATTTAAAATCATTTATTAAGAAAATTGCGAGTAAAGGATCATAACAAAGTTTGCAAGAAGGCAGAGCAGGCAGGCAGCAGGCAGCAGGCGGTGGCGGCGGCGGCGGCTACACAGGCGGCAGAAGTCCGGCGCCTCTCGCGCCATAAATACGCGCGAAGTAGATATAGAAGAGCTGAGAGAGTGAGAGAAAGAGAGAGGAAGCGAGAGAGAGAGAGAGAGAGTAGAGAGAATCGGTGTCGCGCACGCGAGGGGCGCGAAGGCGCGCGCACCAGCAACAGCAGCGGAGGCAGCAGCAGCAGCACACACAGTCGCGAGTACAAGCAGCTTTTGGAATATGGGTCAGGCCTCGTGTGTGTAGAGAGCCAATAGCTTCCGAATAAGAGCGCGAGCGAGAGAGAGAAAGAGAAAAATGAGAATTTAGAGTTTATAATAAGTGCGCGCGAAACCGATATTGCTGCTGTATAAAATATAAATGATCTTTGAACAGATATTAGCTATATGCGAGCTTGCGAGTGTGTATACACTCCGCAAACACACGGTGTCTTAGATTGGAAAATTTCTTTCGGTGCAGTTTCGAGAAACAGCGCGGTTAACGTTGATTTCGCACACGCGTTTCACACGCGTCTAATGGCATTTGCCTCGCTCATACATATTCATCTTGGCTCATCTTAGTCGCCTAAAGCTTCTGAATAGCGGCACTAGTTGACTGATCATTTCGCGGAAACAGCTCTTCGCCTCGGACTTTTTTCTCCGTCTCGCTCTCAAACTCGAGAGTCTCGCAGAAGAGGCATTAAATCAACGCCATTCACCGTTGCGCTCAACATCAACACGGACTTGTACACGAGAGTTACATCATCATCATCGAACAATGGCGAAAAAACGAGCCTGTATAATAGTACCGAGCTTGCGAGCAAAAGAAGAACGGAGAGTCGACGAGAGACCACTCGGTAATCTAGCGTTTCTATTGTTTTTTTTCCTTCTTGCGGTGCTGCACACGCCGAGGCCTATGTATAGAGAGCCCGAGCGCGGCTAGAAGGGAAGGAAAAAACTGCTGCAGTCTCGTACGTACTAGTAGCAGTAGTAGTATAACGCGCGGAATGTAACGTGCAGGCGTATAAACAAAGAGGCAGATGCTTGCCAAACCACAAAGGCCCGCAGCTGTAGTATCTACTTGAGGTCATCGCAGCGGGGGGGTTAGCTCGAACGGCAGCGGTTTAGAATAAGAAGAAGCTCGCTGAACAAGACGTTAAAAAGAATTAACCCTCGCGACACAAGTGAACGGGTTTAAAACGGAAATTATGTACAAATGTTGTTAGTAAAAATTAATCTCCGACTCACCTTGCAGTGGTTGCAGTTGTGCTGTACCGAGTAGACCTGACCGCAGTCGTAGCGCGCGAGCACCTCCTCGAACTCGCAGTGCAGCCGGGCGGCCATCTGGTCCACGGCCAGGAGCTTGTCGAGGGCCTCGCTGCAGCCGGGCCCGCCCTCCAACACGGCCTCGAGGGGGCCGAGCTTGCCCGGGGCCAGGGCGTGCACCGCCGACTGCTCGCAGCAGTGGCGCAGCCTCAGGCCCTTCAAGTACCAGTAGCGATTCTCGCGGGCGTTGGCGTAGCTCCGGCTGGCCGACGTGCCGAAATCCTGCCGGCAGACGTCGCGCTTGTGCGACTCCTCGAGATAAAAAAGGCACTGATCCGGAGCCGACGCCGCCGACGCCGCTGCTGCTGCTGCACCGCCGTCACCTGGCCCCGACGACGACGACTTGCTTTTGCTGCTCTTGCTGCGATGCTCGCGACTCGCCCCGTTGGCTGCCGCATCCGCGTCCTCCTCCACGACGTCTTCGGACTCTTCGTCGTCCTCGTCGTCGTCGTCGTCGTCGTGGTGGTGATGGGACTTGCGCCGAGCCGACCCGGTATGGATCATCGTGGTCGTGGCGTTCTCGATGGCCTGGAGCAGCTCCACGACCCGATCGAAGCTCGCAGCCTGTCGACAGGAGCCCGGACAGGACTTGGGCACCTCGGGCGGGCCGCAGCTGCCCTGCAGATCGGGCGCGGGACCCGACAGGTCGCAGGCCGACAGCCACGGATTGATCTGGTTCAGCTCCCAGGCGTATTCGTTGTAAGGGTGCCGAGGCACTGTGCGCCGGCTCTGCTGCTTCAGCATGGATTGTGACGACGACGACGACGAGGCAGCGGCGAACGCGACGAACGACTGGAGAAACAGCAACAGCAGGGAGTAGAGGACGAGTAACCTCCGTGGGCGACTCTTACGATGGAGAGTGGCAGTGAAGGTCGTTTTGTCCAAGGCAGTGTTGGAGCGTTGAATCGGGGCCCGCTGAGGCCTCCTCGTCCGACTCCTCCTACTCCTCTTCCTCCTCCTCCTCTTTTTCTGGCCGGCAATAGCAGTAATCGTGCTATGGTCGACGGCTTCTGTCGTCGTCGTCGATACCGCTGCTGCTGCCGCCGCTGCTGCTGCTGCTGCTGCTGCTATCGGTGGACGATGAGCGTCGTCGTGTACTCGGAGGCCGTCGCGACTGCCGGAGGCGAGCCGCATCGGTGCCGAGGCGGGGACTCGCGACAAGTCCCACTTGCTGTGCTGCTGCCTGCTGCGCGTCGACGACCAGTTGGGGACGACGAGCAGTTGTTGAGGCGCGGTGGCATCGCTGCTGAGCTTCTCCTCGCTTCGACTCGCTCGCACTCGCGCACTTTTTCTTCTTCTTCTTCTTCTTTCGTCTTGTTCTGCTTCTAACGATGATTCTTGTTGTTGTTGTTGTTGTTTTTGTTGTTGTTGTTGAGTATAAATGTAAAGCCCCGCTTGGCGTGAGCGTCCCAGGCCTATTGGGGGATAGTAGCAGCAGCAGTAGCAGCAGCAGGTGCCTGCCTGCCGCTCCTCCTCCTCCTCTTCCTCCTCCGCGCTCCTGATGACGACGAAGTCGTGCTCGTAGGTCTGGGTCAGCGGGGCTCTTAGAAGTTCCCCTGAAGCTCCTGCCCCGAAGCTCTCCTGCAGTAGCCGACGTTGCTGACACTGCACTCGCTGTAACTTGTGCTGCTGCTGCTTCCTCGATTCCGAGTGGTACACCTCCGCACCTGCACGAGAGAGAGAACAAACACAAACGAGCGCATATTGAGTTTTAGGCCAGTTTTGAAAATTAACGACCGTCTTACATTATACATTTGTACGGCCTGCAGCTTTGCATAGCCGTGCAGTTTGTCGACACACAAAGGTGACCAAAGTTCGCTTTCACTTCGACGCGCGCGCGCGCGCAGCTATGCTAATTTGCCTATATATATACGCGTAGCTTGTCGGAGCTTGCGCTCGAAACTTTTGCTCGTCTGTTTTTTCTGTTGTTTTTTTTTTTTTCTGTTTGACGAGCGATTTTGGGTCACACATCTGTAGCCCCGTGTGCACTTTGACGGTGCAGTATAGCGTGCTTTATCGCATTGATACTTTTTTTCTTAACCCATTAACGACCAAAATGCTTGATTTTTTTGTTGGTTTTCGCAGCGATTTTTTTTGTAGTTTGAGACCTTAAAAAAATTTCGCAGGGACCTATTTCGATGTAAAATTTAATGCCTTTTCAGAAACTGAGCGCAAAATTTTGATTTTTTGCGTAATAAAAAAGTTATAGCTACTTAAACAAAAAAAAACGTAAAAATTTTTGCAAAAAATCAAGTTTTCGATTTTTTTTCGCCATGTTACCGATAAGGAATCACGATATAAATATGATCAGGGGTGATCACGACTATCAAAGTATCTCAGAGAATTTTTATGGAATTTTCGAACCATTACTTCAAACAAAAAATAACTCATATTCATATAAAACATGACTCATTTTTACTCGAAAACTATTGAATTTAGAGAAAAAGTGCACAAAACGAAGATTTGAAAAGTGGTTCAAAAATTCCATAAAAATTCTCTGAGATACTTTGATAGTCGTGATCACCCCTGATCATATTTATATCGTGATTCCTTACCGGTAACATGGCGAAAAAAAAATCGAAAACTTGATTTTTTGCAAAAATTTTTACGTTTTTTTTTGTTTAAGTAGCTATAACTTTTTTATTACACAAAAAATCAAAATTTTGCGCTCAGTTTCTGAAAGGGCATTAAATTTTACATCGAAATAGGTCCCTGCGAAATTTTTTTAAGGTCTCAAACTACAAAAAAAATCGCTGCGAAAACCAACAAAAAAATCAAGCATTTTGGTCGTTAATGGGTTAAGCGCTTAACGTACAGAAAAAAAACTCGCTCGAAATCTCGCCTTTTTGAATTCGACTATTGAACGAGAAAAGGACGGATTTTTACGTAGCTCATCCTCACAAAATTAAATAATCTTGAGTTATTATCGATAAATAATTTCATATTTACAATACTTCCTAAACTGGTGAACCCCATCAAAAATATACTCGGTTTCCGCGCTAAATTACACAGCCGCGAGCAATCATCGCACGAATCGATCATGATTTTTAAATACAAGTCATGCATATTAGTATATATAAGCCGTGGAATTAGCCTTTTGGTCTTCGTAATGTCACGAATTTTCGAAGCGCGCGCGCGCGCATCAATGCGTGTCCAATAATATGCCCGTTAATAAACATGGATTGTTTGAGTATTCAAGTAGTCAAACATCAGCCACACACGGGTATTAACGTCATAAATCTACTTTCAATACAATTTGAATTTCACTTGGTATGTGCGTGCGATGTTTACAACTGGACAACCGCAACGCCGAGCGGCTGATCAAGTAGAAATCGAATGCTCATTATACAGAAATACGAGCCAAAAAATGGCACTCGAGGTGAAAGCGAGCTTTGCGTAGATCGTTGAATTCAATCAACGTGCGAATTATTATTACCTGACGCAGGTGTCGAGGTTGGCCACCGGCCCAGTGTCGTCGTATCGTCGCCGGTATCGGCTGGCGATGTAACAGCAGCAGGTGAACCAGTCCTCTTCCGGCTCCGGTGTTGGCTGCACCGCCGATCGTGGTGCAGCCGCAGCTGCAGCTGCAGCGGTCGGCGCTGCTCCGGCGTCGTCGTAGGCGACGTCGAGAATGCCGCACCGTAGCTGCTGCCGCCGCCGCCGCCACGTACAAGTCGTCGTCGTTTTTGTGGTCGGCCGTGCAGCAGCCGGCCGCTGCCGCTGCCGCCGCCGACGTCTCGCGTCCTGTCCACGGCAGCGTCGTGCAGCAGTCGTCCCCCTGCAGCCGAGGCTCGTCAGCTCCCAGCAGCGCAGGGCAACGAGGTTCATGCTGCATCCTGACGCACAGCGCCGCTACTGCCCTTGCTCCACTCCACCCTCGGCGGACCCTCCTGCTGATGGGCAGCAGCAGTAGCAGCAGCAGCAGCGGCGAGCTGGCAGCTACTTTCTATGGGGCCGGGAAGGCACACGACACCACCACCACCAACACCAGCACCGCGACACACTGTGACACGACGACACGCGCTGCGACGTCCCGTCACTCGTCGCCGCTGCTGCTGATGATGCCGCTGACACCGATCATGCACTCACCACCACCAAAAAGAGGAGCAAGAGAGACGGAGACACGAGGAGGACGAGTAGCAGTACAGGAGGAGGAGGAGGAGGTGGCGGCGTGTGTGTGTGTGTGTGGCGCGCGGCCTGTGCGATGCCTGCTGAGTGTACAGGGAGAGCAGCAGTATAGTAGCGCGAGGCTAGTGCAGTAGCGAACTCTCGCCTCTTGCACACCACCACGACACACCCTTTTCCCACGGACGAAGGAGGATCAACGGACTCCTCTTGGCACTCCACGGCCGCGAGAGTTTCGTAATGCCGTTGCTCTCTCGTAGACCAATCTTAGAAAACTCTCCTCGACACTTTTTTTCAAATTATTATCTAATCTTCTCTGTGCACTTGTGACGCACCACTCGATCGCACGAGGAAGATTTCCGATTATCGTACGATCGCACTTCTCGTAGAACCTCACTGATAATCAATATTATTTATTTATGAATTTTTTTTTTTATTCAATAACAACAACTAGCAAAAACAAAAAAACAATCGCGCACTCGAAAAGACACTCGCGACAACGGAGCAACCCATAAAAGGGTCGGCCCTCTTCTCTATCGACGATGAAAATCACTCGAAAACGAACAACAACTCGATGACAAGGATATCGACGACGACGACGATGAGCAGGACGATGACGACGAGGACTTATCCATCCGACAATCGATCATTACTCTCTCTCTCTCTCTCTATACTGCACGTGTGTGACACACTCGACTCTAGCATGTGTGTGCGTCGAATGTATATGTGGGGGTGAAGAGGGGATCGAGTATACGCGTGTACGTATGTATGTATAGGTGTATACGTGTGTGTGTGTGCGTAGAGAGAACTGGTGTCAATTGTCCGGAGGCTTTTGGCTTTTGGCCTTTGGCTCGTGTATGCAGCAGCCGTGCGCGCCACGATGTGTGCTGCTGCCGCTGCTGCCTTGGCTCGCGCTAACTCCGAAGTAGGTTAGCTAGGCGTATGAAATTGGTACGACCCGCGAGCAGTAGTCGTAGGTGCATTCACGTAACTCATAGCCGTTGCTGCTGCTGCTATCGCCTTCTCATGCTCTCGCGTGTATACTTTTTTTTTGCCTCCTCGCTTTTTTATTTTTGCTGGTATCCTCTTCTTCTCGGCACTGGTGCACTGCTCGCTGAGTTTCGCTCACCGTTCATGCACCTCTTTCTCTCTCTCTCGACTACGACGACGACGACGACGACGACGACAATCCGATCGCACTTGTTCACACGCGCGCGCGCGCGCACCTTTTTCTTTCGAACGCTGTCGTGCTGCTGCTACAGCAGCGACCTTCTCGATGTATCACTGCACCGATAGCCCCAGTGATTTTTTTTTCCTTTCTTATTTCGACGTTCTTTTTCGGTGAAGGGAGCACCGTCACGACCACCGGATTGCGCTCAGGACAATCCAGCAGAAAGTGAGAGAGACACACGCGTCCCCACAGTCCTTGCGAGCGCCTTCGTATACAAAATCACGCTCGGCTTCAGCACACGGACGAATCCATGTTCGGCGTGTGCGGGCCCCGACACACGACTGGCGCGCGCGAGGGGCTGCGGGCGATTTTCAATCGTTATACCCCCGTATGCGTGTGTGCGTGTGTGCTTCTTCCCTTCTTTCGCACTTGGACTGCTGTGCTGCTGCTGTGCGATGGGCGAACTTGGGACAGCTCTCTCTCTCTCTCTCTCTCGCGGGGAGAGTACCAGAGAGTCAGTGGCAGTGCACGCGCACTCTCGCGCGCTGATGATCCGAGAATCGATTCGATATGTGTGAAATGCGATATTGATCACGATCGCTCTCGCTAAATTCTTGCGCTCGATTTACAGACGAACTGTATTTGTGCTGTATTCGTGGGGGGCTCCTCTCGAGACTGCGTGATCCAGAAAAGAGCGCCACGATGGGCTACGCCGCTACTGCTGCAGCTGCGTATCTTATATAATCGGACGGATGGTCGGTAATAATTATTATTATTATTGTTGTGTGTACAAAAATCAGCTGATGAGTCGAGAACCGTCGAGTTATATAGCTGCTAGCTTGGCAGTATATATATGCCGTAAATTTGTTGAAAGACGACGATATCCGTACAAGATGTAAGAGAGAGACAGTGATGCTTCGATGGGGCAGCAGCTAGCCTCGCGGATAAAATCGGAAAAGTTGCCAAGTCTGAGAGAGAGAGAGATGAAGTTGATGGGAAAGTTGATGGATGAGCCTCGATTATGCACCGGTTCTCACTCTCTTGGTGTCACTTTTGCATTAACACACGCGCGCGCGCACACACACACACTGCGATATCTATCTATGTATTTTTTTTATTATATATATGTCGTAATGGCACGTACACAGGCACTACTCTCCTCTGTATTTGGTAGCACACACACACTGACTTTTGGTAGAAATATACGATTGGGGCCTGTGTCCATATATAAGTGTGTGTGTGCGATGGGCTCTCGCTCTCTCTCTCTCTCTGGTCGAGGTGCGCAGTAAATCTATATAGTACTGTACTTGGCCCTGTAAAATCTAGGTGCACGAAACACACACACGCACGCACGCACACTTTTTACTGTACACTGACTGTCGGAGAGGCGCGGACACACACGGGAAACGCGAAGGTATGCGATACACAGTGAGAGAGAGAAAAAAAACAAGGTCCAACCGAGAGAGGTATGCGCGCTCCTCTCCGTTAATTCCCTTTTTTTTCCTCTTTCGCGACAGCACTACTACAGTAGTTATACACGTACGTTCGTGTGTGCGTGTGTACCGTGTGTAACTATTACTATATATGTGTCGCTGTCGCGCGCACGCACACACACACGGGGGAGAGGCTAATGATCCAAAGGAGATTATCAACTCGACTATTTATTTACGTTGTTGTATTTTTTATTAATTTAAAATCACGCACAGTTGCGTGTGCAGTTTTGTGCGCTGCGTCGTCGTCGTTGTTGTTGTTGTTTTGTCGGGGAGCATCGCCTCACGGTGTCGCCCGACTACTACTGAGACAGCAGCAGCAGCAGCAGCTTCAGCGCGGCCGCTCTGTGTTGCGAAGCGCCAGCATTAGCCCTCCTCCCTCCCTTCCTCCCACACCACCATACCAGCCCTCCTCTGGACCCCTGATGCTGCTGCTGCGGCTGCTAACCGCCCGACCCGGAACGCAGGCGCGCCGCACTTCTCTCTCTTTCTCTCTCTCTCTCGCAGAATCTCTCCTCTCTCGGCCTCCTCCTACTCTCTCGAGCAATTCCTCCTCTTCTCCTCTTCGTCGGAGTTCTCTCGCTCTGAGCTTACGTGTATGTATGTATGTATGTGTGTGCGAGAGCACGCGACGAAACAAGGATGGAGCGCGAACGCTCCCAGTGTACGTTGCTGCTGCTGCTGCTTCTACATTTCTACGTTGCGCTGCACACAGTCCAAGGCCCCTACTACTACTACTACTGGTACTACTGGTACTACGTCGAGCTACTACTGCTACTACTACGTCTCGCTCATAGTATAGTAATAACAGGCACACTGTTACTTCTACTGCTTTAACATAGCATTGCAGCTGCTCCAACTATACACGTTTGCCGTACGTTGCAGTCAGCGCGATCTAACGCGCAGCTCCGCTTTATACGTATGTGTATGTGTGTGCATCAGGATCCTACAGCAGCGAGGCGCCGAAGCCTATACAGTGGCCGATTACAGAGATTGTCTGTATACATACCATATGTATAGTATAATAGCTCGCTGGCGAACGCGCGTCGTTGCTGATAATGTAATAGTTTGCAGTCAACTTCCCTTTCCTCCACCCTTCGCGCGAGTGTATATACCTATGTACATAGGTACGACTACTATGGTACAAGCTCGACAATCGCATGACTCTGCACTATATGTATATAGCACATGCTCGCGCTCTTCTCTCTCATACAGTACGTATGGTAGGTATGTACGCGTATTACGCGCGCATTAAGTGGCTGGTACTTTTCGCCGTCGTCGTTGCATTCAAAGCGACAGACCCTCCATCCTTCGCTACTTTGCTAATGATTTTCCTACTACTGCTGCTACTACTCATTGTGTATCGCCCTACGCGAGAGAATATAAAGTTCTCTCGAAAAGAAATCTCGGCAAAGCTCGCTCTATGTGTATTACATACGAGTTTGTAGCGCACTTGTAAATGTAATATCGTAATAATTTCGTCGGCGCAATTCGCAAACTGCGACAGTGTAAAAGAAAGAAAAAAAAAATTATACTTCATAGCCGCTCGCGGTTTGATCACCGTTGCTCGTCGTTATAAGATTGCTGCTTCGAAAATCTGTTTCTTTTTATCCATTATTATTGATTACTACTGCCGTGTCGTTGCGATTGATGTATCCGCACGTGCGGATAGCTGTGCACCCCGCGCGCGCGTCCGACTCAATATTGATCTCGACTACTGATTCGAAGACTACTCCACTGCACCCGTCGCCTGCTGGCCCCCGCGCTTTTGATCCGCGGTGCTGGTGGCTCGTTCGCGAGTCTTCGATTCTCCAAGAAAAGAAGAAGAAGAAGAAGAAGAAGAAAAAAAATCAATGGAGAGAAGCGAAAAGTCTCGCGCCTCGCGAGAGAAACGGCCCGCGAAGCTGCTGCCGCTGCTGGATGAAAGCGACGAATTATATATTTTCGTCCGCGGGAGCTAATCGCGCGCGCACGTTAGAATTGCATACGTCGACGTGACTATCAATTGCTTTTCTCTCTCTTGAGCCTCTCTCTCTCTCTCTCTCAGGGTATATAATACACGTGCATCGAGGCGGCTCTCGATTTTCTCTCTCTATCTCTCTCCGCCCGGGGGCCGCGTCGACTAGAGCGAGAGAGAGAGAGAGAGAGGCAAAGGCAGAAAAAGAGAGAAGGTGGAGGAGGAGAAAAAAAAGAAGAGAAGAGAGAGAATAGAAAGAGCTGCTGCTGCTGCAGTGCTCACGATTCTCCGCTCTACATGCGTATATACAGCTCTCCGGCGCGGCTTTTATTTCCTTAGCCCCGCAGCAGCTCGAGCTGCTGCTGCTGCTGTTGCCGAGCGCCGAGCGCGATTGTGTTGTGCTGCTGCGCGCGCGAGAACGTATGCGAGATTTACGTGTTGTGCTTTCGTGATATTTCACGGCAGCTGTGTGTGTATGTACACGCGTATACCAGTAAATATATATACAGCTATATAAGGCGGCAGAGAGAATACAAAGTACATGTATATAACGTAGCTGAGGAGTCGGTTGGATGGGAGGGTATAGAGTCGACGCGTATCGCGTTGGCCGTAGGCATCTTTTCGCGCTCGCCTACATATACAACAACAACAACAACACACAACGCGATCGTATCGCGCGTACAACTATATATTTACGTACGAGCTTGCGAAACGCAACTTCTTATTTTTCCACTTTCGTCTCTGTGTGTGTATCATATAAGATACGTACGTACGATACGTATACGCGTGTGCGAGCTAGCTATATATGCAATACACAAAGTAATTCCTCGCACTGCGCACAGCCGAGAGAGAGAGAGAGAGAGAGAGAGAGAGATCCCCCGCGACTTTATATATACATACTATATACGTACACCTTCAAAACCAACTTGCGCGCAGGCAGGTAGCGGCTCGTATATTACGTCGGTGGGCGCGCAGTGATTAAACGGAAAGCGCACGACTGCGGCGACTCTCGACGCTTACGTATCGTTCGAGTTTCTATATTATTATACATATAGCGAAGTACAGCTGCTGCTGCTGGGAGAGTTGGCCGGCGCGCTCCCCGATGCAACTCGAGGCTAATATTTACCAATGAAATTTCCATAAAGTCGCGCGAAGGTCGTGGGGCGCTCTCCCCGCTGCCATTATTATTATTATCATCGTCATTATGATTATCATTATTATATAGCCTATAGAGCGCGTCAAAGTCCTGCGGAGCAGTAGTAGTAGCAGTATACAGAGTAGTCGTCGACCGCTGCGCGCTCGAGCCTCGAGAGCTGGAAGGTATATATACGCGGCAACGGGCCCAGGGGAACGATTTATACGTTTCGCGCAGCGAGCGAGTGACATTTTAAATGAGATCATCATTGAACACTCGCTATTCCCCCCGAGGCAGTTATATCCTGCAACCTATAGTTTATGCAGTGGTAGTATATAGATGCGGCCGGCGTATACCGTATACACATACGCGAGCTTGCAAGCTCGCGCGTCTATACACGCGTGTGATCCGCATCGCAGAGAGAGAGAGAGTATACGTCTTGATCGGCTCTAAACGCCTTCTATAGGCGCGACTCTCTAAGACTATATTAACTACGTTTAATTAAAACGTACGTGTATATCGCGCTACGAAACGATATAATTGCAGCTGCGCGCGATCGAATTTGCATCGCAGCTTCTCTCTCTTCGCAGAGGCCCCCACGATACAAGCGCAAAAACGCCCATCTCTCTCTCTCTCTAGCCGGCACATTACGTATATAGATATTGTACAGAGCTTGCGTTACATGTATATACCTCTATTCGCAAGGGTCGATGTATGTTTGTGTGTGTGTGTGTGTGTGTAAGAGCAGCAGCAGCAGCAGCATCATGCCAACGCCGCCGCTGCAGAAACTTATATAGCACAGGAGGAGTACGTTTGAACGTCTTGGATGTTATAGCGAACTTGTGTCCGCCGCGCGCGCGCGCGCGCTTCGGTGTGCATTAGTGTACCCAAGTATACTGTACAAGGTGGATTCCTCTCTCTCTCTCTCTCTCTCTCTCACTTGCGCAGGACCAGCAGCAGAGTCTAGTATGTAGTGCGCGCCTAGTGCAGCGGCGGCAGGACCGAGTGGCGTACACATATACGTACATACATACAACACAGAGAGAGCTAGGAGCTAGCTCACTCGCGCAACTGGAAGCGCCTGTGCCGCTGCCGCTGCTGCTGCTGCTCCCATTTCGCGCGCTTATGAAATTACAGCTCTCTCTCTCTCTCTCTCTTCCTTGCTAAATTTAATATTTAATTATAAAGTTACTCACACTTCTATGATTTACTTGGCCGCGCGTGTGTGTGTGTGCTTGGAGCATCGCCAGTCGAGCTTTCGACCGAAGCTTTTTCTCTTCTACTTTTTTTTTCATCTTTTTCACGTCTAGTTTTCGAGCTAACGTACCGAAGCTCGCGAATCGCCCCTGTTCACGTATCGATGCATCGACCTATAGCTTGTACTTTTGTCTACAGGCATGAATATTCATGCATAGTACAATACGGCGTTTGTACGTATATCTTCTCTGCGTCAACGTTGCGTGCGATTCGTGCTTGCGAAATGCGCGAATTAAAAGAGCCCCGCATATCGTTGTATAGGCGTTCGCGAGGCGCGCGGCGCAGCACATCGACGATGAATAGTATATCTGTGCAAATGTGCACTTAGTGCACGCGCGCGCGCCTCGCTCGATAGTTTTGCTCTCTCATCTCTCTCTCTCTCTCTCTCTCTCTCTCTCGTGTGCATGTGCACTTGCATCGATCTGTACGTGTGTACGAACGTGTGTGTGCCGAGTGAAGAGAGTGCTGAGGAAAAAAGGGTGGGTGACTGAAGGGGGCGAGGGAGGGAGTAAAAATTCGCGCCGCCACCGCGAGGCTCTCGTTGTCGAGAGAGAGAGATTGGCAAAAATTCACGCGGTTCTCCGCGGCACGCGCGCGCGCGAGAGAGAGCTGCAGCTGTAAATCGACGCTTTCGACGTTCCCGATGTAACGCGCACCGCAGATCCGTCGCGTACGTACTCGAAATAAAAATTGAAAAAAAAAAAAAAAAAGAAACAGAAGTATTTTAGACTCGTGCGTAATGTGCGGCTCGGTCCTCCACCCAGCGGCAGCAGAGTATCAGTAGTAGTAGTAGTAGCATATAGTAGTAGTAGTAGTAGTAGTAGTAATAGTACTAGTAGTAGTAGTAATAGTACTAGTAGTAGTAGTATAAGCAGAGAGGCAGCGGCGGCTGCGACGGGGGCGGGCATCGCGCGCGCTCTCGGCTCGCAATATAATTCTTCGAGAGGAAAAAGCGAGTATGGCTGCCGTGCGCATGAGTGGCACGCCGTGCTCCGCTGTAGCTGTATGCTGTGCTGCTGCTGCTGCTGTGCTGCACTGTAGCCAGCGAAATTCTCTCTCTCTCTCTTCTCTCTCAGTTCGCTCTCGCGCCTCGAATCGATTATTCGCGAACAGCTGCGACTGCTGCTGCTGCTGCTGCTGCTGCTGTGGCCCGCCGCCGCGCGAATATCATGCGAGAGTATATAATACGTACTACTGGTGGTGGTGGTGGTGGTGGTGGTGGTGGCCGTTTCGACGATCGAGCTCTCTCCGCTGGAGTCTCCGTGCAGCCTAAAGATTCATGCCACATTCGAGTCGCATCGCCGAATTTCAACAGTAGCCGATTTGAGCTTGCGGTGTTATACGATCGCCTATAGCTGTCGCACACTTTTGTTGATATTTTGGTGTATACCGAGAGATTGGTTAAGATAGAAAATTACTGCACGATTACTTTAGGCGATGAAATTCGCTTCACTTTTCGAATTATCATATACATTTCCAACCAGTACCATATTATATATGATACATCACAACTGTTCATACATCGGCGATCATAGCTTCATACAGACTCGATGCAGCTAGCTATGATTTTTCATTATCCTTCACTGTAGCGACAGATCAATGCTGAAACATTTTTTGCTTAAAAATTCAAGTATAATATTTGAGGCATATTAAAGCAGTTTTAGACATTCAAACTAATGGATGCGTTAGAAAGTCGTACTTAATGCTAAAACTTTGCCTTTCCTCTTTTGGTTTTCGAGAATTCGGCTCTGCGCCATCTAGCGACGCCTCAGGAACTACTACGTACGTGAAAAAAAATTATTAAAATAGATGTGATTTTCGGCATACTTGCCATACTTCAGAATAAATAAATTTTTTTATTTCTCAAGCATAGTGCGTTACTTTTAACGTGAAAATTTCAATTAAAACTTATAAAATAAAAACACTATTCAAGTTTTAACTTCAAAATTCTCATATTTGTCAAGTAAATATTCTGTACATTTACTGTAATTTTAATTTTAATCTTAGTGCTACTTCATTAATTTTAGTATTGATACTTTATTTTTTACAAAAAAATTGTTGATTTTCAAGGCAATTTTTGTCATTTTAAGGAAAAAAATATAATGAAAATTATCATTGAGGCATACCTACTTAAATATTCTAGAATAGACGTCCAGCACTTGAAATCTACAAATAAAATTTACAGTGTACTCTGCTCCATCTTTCGTTAGTTGTAATTTATTTTTGCAAGTTATTCTTATCTTATAAAGCCTATCATATTCTCAAAGGTGAAAAAATTCTGAACCAACGAATCCCTTTCATATTTCATACATAATCAACGTCTCCTTTATATTTGGTAATAATTGTTTGTCTCTCAATTTTATTACATTACATTTAATATTTTTTCCACAGAATCAACACGAAGGCCAAGAATCAACGGGATAGTTTTATTTTTATGGATGAGTCAAAGTAATGTCCTTCCTTTCATGGATACTGTGTTTCATTGATCGCAGCTTAACTGTATCCGGTGTATTTTTTACTGCCTCGCTTAAAATTTGACATTTTTTTGTCCCTCGTCGTCGCTGCTGCTCTCTGCCATGGCACACATACTTTGGCACTGAAAAATGCATCGTTGAATTCGAACAATGAGACATTCCAATTTGTTTTCTATTTTATTTCATAATTTTTCGCACACACGTAAGAAGAAAACGCGTAGCCTCTACGAATCGAAAAAAATATATAATATAAAACGTCCGTACGTATTCTTCATCCCCGCGTACGTACTCGTGCACAGCGAAATAGTTTTCGCCATTTCAGTGAAAAATGGTCGAATAGTTGCAACATGCCAGTATGTCATGTATGTGTGTGCGTTCGTTGCAGCGCTGAAGTTTTTTTTTTTTTTTACCAAAAGTTCGAATCTTGCAGGGCAGCGCACAATGCGCGCTCGAGTTTACGCGTTTCAAGTCGACTTTTGGCATACGTATTCGAAAAAAATACGACGCCCGCGTATAGATAACGTCGAGCCAAGTTTTTTTTTCGCCGTTGTTGTTGTTGTTGCGCACTTTTGACTTTTCACTCGGAACGCCAAGCGTTAAAAAATGTATAACTTTTGAAAATCGCGTAATAATTTGTCTCGGCGTGACGATTTCCGAGTAGTATTAATGATATTTTTCGAAAACAAATTCCATATAAATCAATACTTGGCTTTCCTTATATTACCTAGATGAAGAAAACAGATATTATTTATTAATTTTTGAGCTTTTCTTTCAAGGGGGCCTTGTTCGTCATTTTCAAACGGCAGAGAAATCACGATCGATTTCTCGATTTCTCGACGTCGTCAGGAAGCTGCTGCTGCTGCTGCACACACCACAGCAAGAAATCAGTCGCGAATTCGCGAGTCGAAGCCCCCGCGCGCGTATTATACAGATCGCGCAGGCGAAACCAAGACCTTACGTAGGAGCTTTCGTGTCTCTCGCGCTGCACCGACTACTACTACTACTACCTCTACTACCATATATAGCACAGCCGAACGTTGCGGAGCAGCGAGAGAGACTGGATCATCCATTATATCCGTGCGGCAGGGCCAAGTATATACTGTTCTACAGCGATATAGGATTATCTGCAATGAGCTGCGAGCTTCTATATGCGGCGCATTTACCCCCGCTTCTCTCCCCCTTCCCTGCCGAGCGTGTAACGTTGCGTGCGTGTGCTGTATACCATTTCTGAATCGCACGAACCCCCAGTGCTGCTGCACACCACTGTAAACCACGAAATCGCGACGAGGCGAGAGCTATAAATATATAAATGCATTTCGCGTATTACGGGTGGGCGAAATGTCACAGATATATTAGTACGTGAGTTTACACGCAATAAATATTTAACTTTATGATCCGTATTGACCCGCGGAGAATTTTTAGAAAATAATAAATACATGAGAGAGAGAGAATCGAAGGAAAAGTTCGAAAAAAACTCATTACGCCACACACAGTCTGTTTAAATAAAAAATATAAATAGATTTTATTTTAAAAATTTTTCCAAGCATTTATCATTTGAAATAATTGCATTAACATATAATAATAATAAGAAAGTTGAAATAGTTTATAATAGTAGTATTTGATAATAAAAGGGTGGATAATTAATAACATTTGAAGCTTTTATTTTTTTTTATAAGTAAGAATCAGATGAGTTATATAGCAATTTTCATCATCACATTTTTATAAAATTCATGCGATCATTATATCGTTCGTTCGTGTAAAACGCCCTCATTACTAATTAACGCATCGTCTCTTTCTCCCGCTTAGAGGATCTTGAACAAAATAAACTATTTACATGGCTTTATACAAAATGAACCAACCATTATTCAATCGTATCAACGTGTTGGGTGTTCATGATTAATACAATAACAAGAATTGGGAAACAAAGTAATAATTTGTTACATGGGGAATTTTTTTTTCTCATTAGACTAAATTTTTGGTATGTAAATTTAAAAAAAGTTGATCATTTTGTCAATAACAATTCATTGACTCGCAAACCTCGACCCGCCACTCGAATCGAACGCTCAGCATTGAACGTTCATCGATTCGATTCGGCGTTCCTTCAAAAAGTGTATTAACACTTCTATAGAACAAGTCACCTTCTCTTCGAGAATCCATCAAAAATAAAAGTTTTTCGTCGAATACCCAAGTTTAATAAACCACATCTCGGATACTCCACTGTATTTTGCACCATTTTTTTTATACCTTTCAAAATGTATCACGATTATAAAACGTTTTTGCAGTTATCAAATATTTTTTATATACACTTACAAATTATTACCATCTATATAATATTTTATGAGATTTATTTTCCTACCATATTGGCAACACAAAGACCCCCATCGCTTTACGTCAATTGTAAGAGTGTTTGCGATTGTTCACAATACATTTTATAAGCAAATGCGACAGTCAAAAAACTTGAAAACGGAGGCTGAGTGTAGGAAAAATTAACATTGGTCATAGATAAAATTGACGGTCATAAGCTGGGTGTTTGTGTTGCCAATAGCAAAAACTCGAGTAAGGAGGTATTACCATCACTGCAGAAAACATAATCCATTACATTAAAATTAATCTTGTAAATATTCATCTTGTCCTTAGGATTAAATAAATTATACAATCAATCTAATTTCTTATAAAAATCCCATCGCACTTTGGTCTTTACCATCATCGTATAAACAAATCGAGGATAAACATGATCCTGTATCACAGGCTAATGTGCTAAGCAAGTCAATTGGATTCGATATCCTTTCAACGCAAGTGTATTGAAAAATTAAAAAAAAACATGTTAACTAGTTCTCGTTTGATTTTTTCTTGCATTCTTTCAATAGTCAATTGAATGAAAACTTATGAGTTTACTTAAAAGCAGACGCGCATCATCAATTTCCGGTAAAAATATTTTCGAAAATTCGGTGAGCGAATGTTCGCTTCAAAGAGGGAGCTTTTAATACATTTCACATAGCCTTTTTCGCGGAATTTCAATTTTCCAATAGTGACGTTACAATAGTCACGCAAAATAAATGATTTAAACTTTCGCAAGTTACAATACCAGAATAGAAACAGACTGGAATTTCTAGATGTAAGCTACATCGCATTTTTTTTCCAATTCATCCAGCTTGGTGAACCACTGAATCACTTCTTGGTATTTAAGTAATTTTGAAAACTCTAAAAAGTAATGACAATATTGGTATCGTTGCAGTAATCTTTTTTTTCCTTCAAATTACCAGAAATGTAAAATTACCATATCGAGAGATTAAGTAAGGGGAAATTATACTACAATATCATTGTCATCGTGAGGCTGCATGACAACAACTGTTGGCAATGGATTAATAGCACCTTCGTCTCTCGAACCGTTCCTCGCTTGTCTCTCGTTAACGACGTGACTGACTCTAACAGTTGAATCGTAATCCCCGTCTATGCTGCCCTTTTCCAAATCTTCAACGGGTACTGCAAGAAATTCAAAATCCTCGGTTAACGATACACGAAAGAGAATGAAAAAAACGGGAGAGTCGCTCGGTACTTACTATTTAGGGAATTGGCTACCAAGCCCAAAAAACGCCTGCTCGCGGTTGCCGTCGCGGACTCGGTCGTGTCCTCGTAAACGTCGCTGTCGCTACTGCAGGCCTCGTTGACGACTTGCGTGTGGGTTACATCTACATGGCGACGATCCAAGGACGAGTCGTAGCTGCTCTCGGAATCGCTGCGTCGCCGATGATGACGGGACCTCGATGGTTGTTGCTGTTGCTGCTGCTGCTGCTGATGGTCACCACCGGTAGCGCCGCCGTTGGCCGTCGACTGGGACGGCTGATTCGGCGGCCAGCTCTCGCTCTGCGTCATCAGATTCAAGGCGCGCAGCACTCGCTCCCTGCGCATACGCTCCCAGGCGGGATCGACGTTGGCCACGGCCTCGAAGGCCTGCGAGTCGAACGTGCCGCCCTGGGTGCCCTGTGGCCGCTGGCCGTCGCGTATGAGCGGCGTCGAGTCGTCGACGTCCGAGTCGCTCTCGGTGTCGGTGTCGACGCGCTCGTCCGCGGCGAAGACTCGTCGCTTGCACACCGGGCAGACGCGTCGGTTCTTCGTTAACCACGGATCGATGCATTTTGTGTGATAGGCTGCACAGAACGGAGAGTAAAAATTATACACCTCGTTGTATTTTATCAAAGGGTATTATTTGAATCAACGCAAAAATTACCATGAGCACAGGGTAGCACTCGAAGCTTCTCGTTCTCCACGTAATCATCCAAGCAGATAGCGCAAGTCTCGTAAGGATCGCCCTTGGTGTACTTGTGCGTCGGTATCTTTTTCAAGCTCGAGTTGGGCAGCCGATGCCGCCGCGCTCTGCGTCTGTCCTTGATGCACCTGACAATCTGAACGGTCCATTGGAGAGAGAAAGCAAACGCAAAATTGAAAATATTTAGCTCTCGTTAGCGACCGAGCTCTGTATAGCCACCGAATTGTATTTCTACGTGTGCCGCTTACCATGAATATGACCATCACCAGGAAGCAGATAGCCACCACGATGGCGAACGGCAACAGTAGGTGCGTGTTGATGTTGATCGGCATCTCGTTGATGAGGATGAAGTAGTCCTCGCTGTACGAGTAGACGTTCTTGAGCAAGTTGCCGTCGAACTCGCTCACGAATACAGACGGAATCGTTATGTTGGTCGGGTCCTTGGCCGACATCGGTTCTATAAAAATTTGAACGAGAAGAAATGAGCGATCGATTCTCAACGACTGCGTAATACTTGTCAAAGGATCAACGTACCCAAATCGTTGCTGTGAACATTGTGCACGATGGCGGCCGAGTAGCCGGCTTTCTGGGCGTTCCTGATCTTGGCCTCGAAGCTGCAATTGTTGCGAGCGATCAGCACGATCCAGCTGTAGCCGTAAGCCCTGGGATCGTCCGCGGGGGGCGGTTTTATATCCGAGCACGCCTCGGATGGCTCGGAGTAGATCACCAAGCCCTGCAAAGACAATACGAATTTTAATTATATCGTTCTTACGTACCACAATATTGAACTTTCGATACTCACTTTAATACCTTCCGGAGGTACAATACTGCCGAACTTGGCCGGCAAATCATCGAAATTCGCCTCGACCCGGTGCGGATCCACAGTGGAGAAAACGAGCACGTCGGCGTACGTCGACGTAACGACGACGAGCAGCAGCAGCCCGAGCGGCCACCACCACCTCGTTGTTATCCTCGTTGTTGCTGCCGTCATGGCTTCGGGGTTTTTTTTAAAACGATACCTTCGTTTCTTTATTCTTCTCTCGAGTAAAGGAGATTTATTGTTCTTCTTGCGGTTGAGAGCAGCCCTCCATCGAACTGCTACGCGCTTCTATCGATAACGAGTCGACGACGATCCTCATCTCCCGTTTGATCAGGATCACATGATACACGCCTGTCTGTCTGTGCGTGGGTGTGCTCTTAACAGCGGCTCAGGAATAATTGCAATTTGGAATGTGAAACGTCGATATCAGCCTGAAACACGATACGAATTATTCACATAGGTTTTCATACTACTGTGTCTCGTTGTTCGATACTATATATCTCGTGTATATCATAGTGAAGAGCTGTACGATATAATATAGATGATGCAATTGTAATATATTGAAAATACACAGGCTGCAAAAACCGGTACTCGTTTTTTCCAAGTCGTTTTCTCTCTCGGGTCGCTCTTTGCGAACTACATTTAATGATTGTCATTATATAACGGTAATATATAAACATGCAGCGTTCTTACAAGACTCGTAGAAATACATTTACGATTTGCCGGCAATCATATTAATAGGCCAAATTTTATCGTTATGCATTCGGAGAGCTAATTTGTTCTCTTTCGCGGTATAGCAGACATTTTTACAAGTTTGAGTAGTGCACGCTCGCGCGAGAGGAGCTCATCGGGCGATTTTAACATTTATTGAATACGCATTATCAATGAGAAGATAAGCACACATCATCATAGGAGAGCAAGCTACTTATGTACTTTCGCTCGCATCGCGATCTTACAGAGGAAGGTCATTGAGAAAAGTGAGCGCGAGCAGCAGCATGAAAATCTTAAAACACGTATATAGTATTGGTCTATCAATGGCACGTGTAATTCGCTTTAACACGTATACACGACCACGCATTAGGCGTAAGACATCAACAAGTAGCATTGTCCAAGTTTCCGATGAAGCATATATTGGCCTATATTGGATAACGGATTGACCGCGAAACCCCGCACCGACTTCGCATATCACATACACACACACACACACACACACACACACACACACATGTGTAGCATATCTCGTGCGCAAGCCAATATAATGCTCTTAATTGCTTAGAGAGATGTGTTTGCAATAAGTAAAGTAGCAAGTGTTAGAGTCTGCGTGCACATGATAACTACCCAACAGCATCGACTAGCCAAGCTACCAATGCATTGATTCGTGTACGAACACGATGCACTTATTTTGTGCACAGATTCATGAAACTCAAACTTTACATTTAGATTTCAATTGTGACAATAGCGTGCACTAACAATATGTATCAAATTATCACTTTGTCTAATACAGATACGAATAAGAAAAAATTAAATAACTATCTGATATAACAGTTACATTAATTGATAAATATATTAACAATGCACAAAGCATGTGTCGTACTTGAGAAATGTTCAATAATTAAAGTTCTATTCAAACAAGTTTTGCAAGTACGTATCATCATTAAATGTATATTTATTCTTTGTCAGATTTAATGATAATTTTGAGGATATCTAGTCGTAAGAACTTTTTTACTATTTTTGTTCTGTTATAACATTTTTATTAAAATGCTTGAACACCAATACTACCAAAAAATGATTCAATCACCTCAAAGGTGTTACTAGTGTAATGATTAGAATAAAAATTATTTAGTGGCATTCTCAACTCATTAAAACTTTATGTTGAGAATGTTGAGAAATATGACATATAGCAAAGATTGAAAATGGGCACAGATAAAACAGAATGAAACTTTTCTTGGTACAAGAAAAAAAAAATGTTTATCCAAGAAACATAAACATAATCACTTGCACCCACGAAATTAATGACAATAAAAAATCGAAAATCGACGTGACGTAATTCACAATAGCTTTATCACATTAAACCCTGCTAAACTAGATATGATTCACTCAGCACATGCAGGCAGTACAAAGAGTATAAGTATGCATAAAAAACTATACAACGTTCTGCTCTGCAGGCAAGAGTAGATAAAACAGTGGCAGGACGGTGTATAGATGCGATGAATAACTATAATGAGGCACAACACTACTTGGTCTTTTTCTTTTTTCTCCAATTTATCACGTTTGTCCACTCGACTTTATATTTATGCAGAAAACTTTTGATATCGACCGTTAAAAAAAGGGAACTCGCTCAGAGCAGCAACAATCAAAACGTCAAAGAGACACACGATAGTTTGACTGCGAGCTACTCTGCTATAAGATTAGGCAATCGCGATGTTATTAACCCTTACAGGCGCAATGGATGTCGTCAATGTTGGATGTATATGGTGCGCATTTAAATACCCACTACTGTACAGATAGTCGTTGTGACAGCACCATGAATTTTCGTCGCGAAGCATGCAGTTCTCACCCACGTTTTGACACTTTACAGCTCGAGACGTATACATGGGATTATTCGTGAGAATTACAAACGTTACCATACACATGAACACGTTTGCAGAATCTGATCAGTGCGATCGGCTATCGGACCTCATCTGTCACTCTCGATAACGTCAATGTTTCGCGATGCGGACTTTGATCATCGTCGTTTTCAATGTATTATTACTTATTAGTCGACGAGACGCACACGACGACAACGACGACGACGATGTCATCACTCAACGAGCGCACGAATACACGCTCACGCATCGCGTGTGTGTGTGTGTAGGTATATGTCACAGAGACGCACACCGACAAACATTATACATCCGCACGAATGTGTGTACGTATACGTACAACAATTATTGGATTGTTGTACGAGTTACATTAGAACATGTACATCGATGTAGGTGTGAATATGTAGAAATGCACGAGTGTGTGTGCGAGAAAGATATTAGATAGAGGTGATTATTAGCAGTTACTCTGCCAGTCTCTTACATTATCGTATCCAATAAGTCGCTGCGAGAAGTAGCATGATCGGAGTAACAGAGCCCAGTAGCTGCGGATGCAGCATTAGCTATACACTGCCTCGTAACAATAATTCATATATACGCAGCAGCAGCGGTTGTGTGTGCAACTTACAACATGCATACATGCAGAAAAATTATAACGCATACACACTTGGAGACAGAGAGAGCGAACTTTTATTATAATCGATGCGCACTTTATAATATCACTCACGCAACAGTACACAAATAGACGAGCACACGCACGCACGTATACGAGGAGTGTTTTATTCTATTCCCAGAGAGAGAGAGAATTTTTGCGGCTCTCTCTTGCGCGTGTTTGCGCGACGACGACGATGCCTCGGGGACAAGCGCACAAGGCAGCTTCTTGTTTTTGTATACACACGCGCTTATACGACGACACGTTCACGCACTGCCGATGAGTTTTTTGTTTGCTTCCTTCTGACACATGATGCGTATTAATATTTTGGCCATGCACGACGGGACGGGGACCACAGCACAGTCTCCTCTCTCTCTCTCGTTCGGAGCTCGTGTGCTGCTGCTGGAGAGCCTCGATGCGTACGTGTGTGTGTGTTTTCTTCTGTAAGGATTTTAGCTAGAGTTAGCTAATAGCTCGCTCTACTGCGCAACTCGGGAATTTTCTGTCTCTTTCTCTCTCCTTACGTAGCATACGTACGCCTTTGGTGCACGTATACTTGGATTTAATATATACAGCGAACCAACAGCCTACAATGCTCATTTATTCAGATACGCAGTTTATATACGTGCGTGTGCGATATGCACCGGACTCGGATTGGCGCTCGACTTACAATGACGCGTTGCGCGCGATCAACGCAAAACACGCGGCGTCACGCGACCATGTGTACGCGGCGCGAGTTTTTGGATTACGTGCAAAAATTAAACGTGTAAGTACTTCCTCTTTCTTTCGTTCGTGAGCGTGCTTTTCTACTCGTTGAAGATTCGTAAGTAAATTCCTCGATTTCGAATGAAATTTTTAGTAGTTATCAACCTGCCGAGAAGAAAAGCGATTAGATAGATTTCGAACAAGAATCCATCAAAAAAATCAAGATTATTATCTAAATTAATTGCGATTAAGAGCTATAAAATATGACTTTGTCGTACGAACATTTTGTATACGTCGCAGGCCAAACGTTATCACGAGAAATTCCGCGAGCTGCTCGCGGTAGCGGCTTATCGCTTTTCGGTCAAGGTAAGGTACGCGTGGCAGCTGCAGCTACTACCTGTACATAATGAGTGAATATTAATAATCGAGAGTTTCCGGAAATTATCAGCTGAATCGATTATGCAGCTATCGAGCGCTTGAATTCGGAGTTATAATTCGACCAAGATGCACATAAGCGTGCATACGTTATAACGATTTCTCCTATAAGTATCACTTAGTGCGTGGTTATATGATTTCGTAGACATGTGATACGAGCCGAAATCGTTAATATTAGCCTTTGATTCAGACAGTCACGTTTTTTCATTTTTTTTTTTTTTTTACGGGCTTCGGAAAGCTGATATCTCACAGCGAGCGATAATGATTATATGACTTTGTCGTATATGTGAATTATGCGCGCGAATGTGCGGTTTTGTCACCCGAGTCTCGAAATAAAAGAGAGACGGACGGTAGCAGCAGTTCCGCGCGAGTCTTTATGACGTGCAGTAGGCATCGATGACCAGTGCAGTTGCCAGTCATTACAATACAAATTGCGATCGCCGCGCATAAGTAAGCTACTAAGACAAGACAGCAGCTAAGCGAGTGACGTGCCGCTAATACGTATATCTATACACACGAGACAGCACAGACACTGCGCGAAGCATCGTTACGGAGTGCTGCCGCGGTGTGCTGCTGCGCGCGCGCGAGGCATAATCTGCTGCTGCACTGCACACACAAGTTGGCGAGTTTTGCACGGCAGAGGCATTGCAGGCTGCTGTGCAGTCAGTCAGGTGTCCTCCATTGGGCAGACAAAATAAAGGTTAAACTAGCGGAGCCAGTAGTAGTAGTATAGATAGAGATTTGCCGATTCCGCGAGTCAGTAGTTACAGTGGTGCCTGGTGCGTGGCTGTCTCGTGTCTATGCGTGCGTGTGTGCGTGTATAATAAAAACGCGACGCGCTTTCGGAAGAATCAGCAGCAGCAGCAGTGGTAGTGGTGCTCTTATACGCAGTCAGCACGCAGAGCTGGCAGCAGAGGCTAGATAGCAACGCGTCGGAATTGGCGTGTATACTGTACATACACGTCGTACACATAGTTGAGAGATACGAGTCCGACCGTACGGGGGGACACACCTTTTGAGGTTAAAGTTCACTCCCGCGAGCCCACAGTGTAGTTTTAGCGGAGCTCGAGCGAGCAAGTCACAGTCTCTAGCTAGCTCTCGACTCTTGTGTCGTGAATAAAAGAAAGAAAAAGGCGAATAATGAGCAGCAGCAGCGGCAACGAGAGAAAGAAGAAAGTTTGATAGCTCGTTGAGCCATATGCAGCGCACGTAGATAGAGAGAGAGAAAGATTTATATCGCCTCGTAATACTAATTGATCCATTAGTAATTGGTCGCGATTGACGGCTCGGCCAGCAGTACTACCTCGATAGAGCCCGCATTTGAATAATAATACTGCAGTCTGCTTCTGTCTCTCTCTTTCTCTCTTCATATACACATATACTCGAATACGAGTCATCGTCGTATCAACTTCTTGATACGTTACAATTGTGCTGCATGTTTCTCTAACGTTGTAGTGAACGTGTGTATCTCGTGTGTATGTATACATGTCTCTATATAATACACACACAAACGCGCACATATTGTATGACTAAGTGTAAACGCAAGAAGAGCCCAGGCAGCATCGACAACGACTACGAGTGACGACGACTGCTTCCCCGATACTCACCGATTTAATACGTACATGAGTAGTGGTGCTGTACAATTGGTGGCGGTGCGCGGCGATATACATGAATTCCAATAAAATTCCTCGCCTCTTCGCTGCCGCCTCCTCCACGTACGAGCGCAATAATGCAACTGCTGATGATCGTCGTCTCACGTCGTCGACTGCGCGGATTTTAATGAAGGTAAATATATACTCTTTAGTTACGCCTACGTAGTGTAATGTAATGTACGAGCGAGCGTGCGAGCAGAAAGCTTTTTTTCGCGTGTCAAAAATTGTAAACTTTTGTACTTGATTCCAGACCAGCTGTCCTGGCAGATAACCTCGAGCTTCGTTCATCTCCGCCGTGCGGCCCCGACCATACTCTAGACGATAGTCACAGCAAGAAAGAAGTTTCGCGCCCGGGGAAGGCGAAAAATCCCGTACAACGATGAATCGCGTCGACGAGCAGCCATCGGCGACGGCAGTTGCGGGTGACGTCGTTGGAGCACAGCTACAGACACAGCCACAGACACAGCCACAGTTACAGCCGCAGCTGCAACCGACGAGTCAACAACAACAACATCATCATTGGCAGGCCACGGCTACGTCCGCGGCAGCGCCGACCGCTCGCATGTATCCCCCACCCACCGCAGCAGCGACGACGATCAACGGCGGCAGTGGTGCAGCGACGATCGGACAGCAGCAGCAGCAGCAGCGGTCGATTTTCCCAGTGACCACCGGATTACTGCCCAGCAAAGTCGGTGGTAGTAGTAGTAGTGTACCCTCGCCCGTCAGTGCCAGCCCAGTGCCGCCAAGCAGCAATGGGCAAACGACCCCGACGAGTCGGGGCCCACCCCTGCAGCAGCAGCTACAGTCCAATCTTCGTGCTGGACCCACGAACGTAGCCGCGCCTGCGAATCATCAGAGCTACCCACCTCCTCAACAAAGCCATATCAACAATGCCAATTCCGCCGCTTCGCAGCAGCAGCAGCAGCAGCTACAGTACAATCAGCAGCCAGCGGCCACGAGGTCGTCGCCGATGATCAACAGCAGCCCCGTGCCTCCTCCTCCCACGTCTCAGTACAATCGTACTGTGCCACCCATGATGACGAGCAACGGGCCCTCCTCGACGCCCGCTGCTGCTGCTCCTCCACAGCTTCAACAGCAACAATTCAACAGCGGGCATCGGCCGCTCGTGAATCACGGCAGTCCGATATCTTCACCGCTCACGCCCGCGACCAGTGCTTTCCTGCCTTCGATGCAGCAGCAGCCAAACAGGAGTGCCCAAACGGTGCCAAATTACGTCAACAGCAGTTCCATGCCACCGACGTCGACGATAGGATCTGTAAATAGAAGCTCGCCGATGACGAGTCCACCGCCGATGAGCGGCAGACCTCCGATGCCAGCAGCAGCAGCCACGAGCGTAGCTCCTCCACAGGTCAACGCTACGACGCCCTCGTCCCTGCAGCAGCAGCAGCAGCAGATTAGCAGTAGCAGTAGCAGTAACAAGCCACCGATGGCCTACAGCTACTCGTCGACACAGCCACAACAACTGCCACCCGCGAATAAACCGCCGATGATGAGTAGTACCCCATTGACGAGGCCGGAGCAACAGCAATCGGGCCCACCGCCTCCTCCTTTCGCGAGCAATAATAATTTTGGACCACAGAATCATGCCCAGCATCATCGTCATCAGCAGCATCCGCATCATCATAATCAGACGTCTCAGGCCAGTAGCGGGCCGATGCCACCCACGTCCGCGACCATGTCCATGAACAGAGGACCGCTGCCGCCGATGAACACGGCGCAGTCGCAGCAGCAGGCTTACAACAACAGCAACGCGACTCAACAGCTGACTCATCAGTTTCAGAATGTCAATCTTTCGGGACCGAGCGGCCAGCAGCAAGGTAGGCATATATGATGCACTATACATCTACGGCTGTCGTAAACTCTCTCTCTAGTCTCTTCCATCGTGGTCGACGGCAGTTTTTTTTTTCTTCTCTATTCGTAAAATTGCAGATTCCCGTCGCTCGAGGAAATACCGGTTTTGCCAAACGGTTAATTATTATTCGCCGTCGCCGCTCGCTTCGCAACGAAATAAAACGTCTCGGCTGCAGATTAGATTAGAGCTCCTCCGCCGCTGTGCTGTGGTGCCTCTCTTCCGACGCGCGGCGCGACTCGTATTATAGCAGCGGACTTTTCGCGATTTGATCGATATCGACCGACGAGGTTTTGAGTAGCGCGTATACCGTGATATATTATGTCCCACTTACGAGAGACATGTGTGTCAGTAAATTAGCTCGATTTTATTCATTATACATGGATGAATTCAATGCCGCGTTACTTCATTACCGGTATCCTCGTTATTACGTATCACGAAAAATGTATGTAGGCTAGGATTTACAAATTCGTAGCTCGGCCTCGCGTGCTCCGTGTGGACGTAAGAAAATTCGATAAAATTAATAATCGTCCAAATATTGTTTTTTCAACTCGAGTTCGATAAATTTTGCACTGCTGGTTTTTTTTTTTCGACAAGATAAATCATCGCGCGCGCTCGCTACGCGTCGATAAGCGCTCACCTAGTTAGCTCGACGCTTCATTCGACTAAAACATTTTTTGCAAATACGCGCCGATTATCGTTTCGGCTATTACATGAAATTTCGAATATAGATCGATGATGAAATTGCATTTTTTTTTACCAAAAAAAAAATTCAATCGATGAATGAATGATCAAAAATTTAAATGCCTACCGCACATCGAAACGGTAATATTAAGCCGAATCGGAGACCGGAACAATCCGCGTGTTTTCAGATTTATTCTTAGCTTGAAAATTAAGCTGAATTTCGGTGGGAAGTTCATGGTCGACCGTGGTCGGGGTTGCACAGCTTACGGGCTAAATTTACACCTCTCGGCTCCGGTCTTACTCGGCTTTATTACGGTATATGACTCGAGACTACTCCGCTGACCTTGTTTCGGGTACTATTTAGCCTATTCTGCATAACTTACCGTTCGGCCATTTCAACAAAAAAAAAATCTATTTTGAACTAGATCAACGCGCTCAATGAATAATTTTAAAAAGTCTCGAAATTCTATCGCATCCATTCAATGCTCGAACATTTTCTTTTTTTTTCAAATAGATTGGAGAAGAGGACCCCCGTCTTCCCAAGGTTACAGTGCGCCTACGTCCATGCCACCGATGGGCTATGCGCCGAATTCCACGCTCAATCAGCAGCCACTGGACACGAGACCTCCACCCGGACAGCAACCGTATCCGGGCATGCCTCCGACCACCGCTGGTCATCAAATGGCGAATCAGCAAAATCTGTCGGTCACGCGAGCCGGCTTCAATCAGATCTGGGGAATGGAGGCGGTCGACCTGCTGCAGAGCAGAAACGTCCTGCCGCCCGGCAGGATCGAGCCACCACCGATCAAGCTGCACCAGGACCAGCTGGACTCGCTCAACTGCGACCCGGATCTGTTCAGGTGCACGCTGACGAAGATTCCCGATTCCAATTCGCTGCTGCAGAAGTCGCGGCTGCCGCTGGGCATCCTCATACATCCGTTCAAGGACCTGAATCACCTGCCGGTGATCCAGTCGGTGACGATAGTGCGCTGCCGATCCTGCCGCACCTACATCAATCCGTTCGTCTTCTTCATGGACTCGAAGCGCTGGCGATGCAATCTGTGCTTCAAGATCAACGAGCTGCCCGAGGAGTTCCTCTACGATCCGGCGACCAAGGCCTACGGCGATCCCACCAGGCGGCCCGAGGTGCGCTCCAGCACCATCGAGTTCATCGCCCCGGGCGAGTACATGCTGCGACCGCCGCCGCCCGCCGTCTACATCTTCATCCTGGACGTGTCGAAGCTCGCCTGCGACAGCGGCTACCTCAGCGTGGTCTGCAGAATACTGCAGGAGGAGATGTCGAATCTGCCGGGCGACAGTCGGACCCAGATCGGCATCATCGGCGTCAACTCCGCCGTGCACTTCTTCGGCATGCCCGAGAACGTGTCGCAGCCCCATCACATGATCATGCTCGACGTCGACGAGGTGTTCCTGCCCTGTCCCGACAATCTCCTGGTGAATCTGCGGGAGCGCGCGGATCTCGTCAAGGATCTGCTGGCTCTGCTGCCGAACATGTTCAGCGACGGCTACGACACCGACTGCGCCCTCGGCGCCGCGCTCCAGGCCGCCTACAAGCTGGCCTCGCCCACGGGCGGCCGCGTCACCGTGTTCCAAGTGTGCCTTCCGAACGTCGGGCCGGGCTGCCTCAAGCCCCGCGAGGATCCGGCCACGCGCACCCAGAAGGACGTGCCGAATCTCAATCCGGCCACGGACTTCTACAAGAGGTTCGCCCTGGACTGCAGCGGCCAGCAGATAGCCGTCGACCTGTTCATGCTGAACTGCCAGTACACCGATCTCGCCTCGCTCTCGGGCATGTGCAAGTTCTCCGGCGGCTGCATTTACAACCTGCCCCTCTTCCAGGCAGGCAAGCTGCAGCACGTCGAGGCCCTGGACAAGATGTTCAGGCGCTACCTGAATCGCAAGATCGGCCTCGAGGCCGTCATGAGGATTCGCTGCACTCGCGGCCTCAGCATACACGCGTTCCACGGCAACTTCTTCGTGCGCTCCACGGATCTGCTTAGTCTGCCCAACGTCAATCCCGACGCCGGCTTCGGCATGCAGCTGGCCATCGAGGAAAATCTCTCGGAGATGACGTCGGTCTGCTTCCAAGCCGCTCTGTTGTACACGTCGAGCAAGGGCGAGCGCCGGATACGCGTGCACACGCTCTGCCTGCCCATCACGAGCTCGCTCTCGGACGTGCTGCACTCGGCCGACCAGCAGTGCATCGTCGGCCTGCTCTCGAAGATGGCCGTCGACCGGTCCATGTCGTCCTCGCTGTCGGACGCGCGCGAGGCCCTCATCAACGCCTGCGTCGACGCCTTGTCGGCCTACAAGCTGCTCCAGCAGTATCCGGCCGGCGGACTGATGGCTCCGAACAATCTCAAGCTCCTGCCAATGTACATAATAGCTCTGTTAAAGTGCCGGGCCTTCAGATTCGGACTCAGTACGCGCGTCGACGACCGCGTCTACGCCATGTGCCAGCTCAAGGCGTTGCCGCTCTGCCAGCTGATACAGCTGATCTATCCGGACCTCTACGCGGTTTACAATCTCGTCATGAGTCCCTCGGCCGACACCGACTCCCAGCAGCAAGTGCAGCTGACCACCGACAGGTTGCACCTGTCCGCCGAGAAGCTCGACTCCAGGGACGTGTTCGTGCTCGACGCGCTAGATCAAATATTCATTTACGTGGGCAAGAACGTGCACCCGTCGTTCTGCTACAAGGCGCTGGGTATCGCGAGCTTTGCCGCCATCCCGGAGGAGATGTACGGATTGCCGGAACTCGATACGCCCGAATCCGTGAGACTTAGGAATTTCATTGCTGGCCTACAAGACGAGAAACCTTACAGTGCCACGATACAGATAATCCGTGACGATGGACACTTCAGGACCCTATTTACAGAACGACTCATCGAGGATAGATTTGAAAATGCACTGAGTTATTATGAATTCATACAGCACGTCAAGTCACAAATCAAATAATCCTTGGATTACTCAAGATACATTCAATAAATTAATACATTTGTAACCGTATTTTTCATTGTATGGGTGATGTCGTAAAAAAAAAGATGCCGCAATGCGTGAACTTATTTGTTATAATTTTACAATGATAGATGTGGTTAGGAAAATAAAAATATAATAAATTAATATTATGAGGATTGATGAAGAACAGTAAAATAAATCTGTAAATTTATATGTACTTTCTTGTTCTGTTAATGTTTTTCTTTTACTACTTTTTATCAATTTATTATAACTATTATTCAAGAGAAGAGATGTAAGTCATAAGGTAAGCTTTGTTCAAACTTGAAAGATAAATCGCTGACAGGAGCTATAAATAAAAGTAATATACAATGATATAGTATATACAATGTTGTATACAAATTTATTAAATAAATAATGTTTTTGAAAACACTCAAAATGTATTTTCTCTATACACATATGTACAAAAATTTACTGCCATAATCGTAATAGTAGACAAATTTTAAAAATAAACTAAATTGTTGGAATATGAATGCATACGTTTAAACAGGTAAAATTATCGATCGCGTAGAAAAGTTGTAAACATAAAAGAACAATATGCTTTTTACATTTTACTCATTTCCAAAGTGGAGTGACAGATTCATTTACAAGCACATCAAAGTAATGTACAGTATAAATTACATTTTCCCAACCGTAAATCTATCATTCAATTTACTAGCTTTTTCAAAAATCTTTTTCTTTTTTTCTCCATCCAAGACATTAGTTTGCAAATCAACGTCTCGATCAAACGGACGCCTTGTTGATAATCCAAGCCTCTTAGCTTGCTTTTCCATTTTCTGTAAAAAAACATAATAATAATTATTTTAAACCATTTCAACAAGCAATTTTCAATTAATTAAACAGTATTAGCTTCTTTTCTTACCTTTTTGCTTTTGCTCATATTTTTCAAATGCATATCTAGTAACGATTCGCGTTTTTCTTCTTCACGATCGCGTTTTTCAGACTTTGATTTCTTAGCTTTTTTACTAGTGGATTCTTCAGATGGAACGAATCTATTTTCCTCTTTCTCTCTCTGTTTCCTCAATCTATCAGCTGGTGTATCCGACCACATTGATCTATCTGACATGTCTGGGCCTTCAGTGGCTCTGAATTTACGTTTTATCGAATCTAAACCTAGTTTTAATGCATGTGCTTCTGGTAATTCTGTCATCCATTCTTCTCTTTTATTTTTATCTTCAACTTTATTGCTAAAATTTTCCTGCACTCGTTTGGCTCTGTTTTCTAGTGCAATTTGAACTCTACTTTGAGCAGCAGGATGGTTCAATGGCACAGGTCCAAAGACTTCTTCATCATCTTCACTTTCGGAATGTGTCTTTTGAATTTCCTCTTTTACTTCAGATTCATCCTTGTTTTGAAAATCTGGCGGTGGTAGCTGTGGACCCAGGATAGGCAGTTTCTGCATCGAGGGTGGTAATGCTGGACCATAGCATTCAGAGTCTGATCCTGAATCTGAATCCATTTTTCAGTGAATTCTGAAAGAATAGAAATGTATTAATTTTTTAATTTTCTGGCTTTACAATATCAATATAATCTTTCTTCAAAGTCAAAGAAAAAAAAATATTTTAAATAATGGTTTATTATAATTATTGTAAGTTTTATTATGTGAAACTTCAATGTATATCAGAAAAGGCAAATGTAATGTGGAAAGTCAGTTGTAATATTCCTCAACACTGAGCTTTATTTATAATCACATGCTACAACAAAATAACTTGATTACTGGTTAAACTTATTATAACAAATTATTCAAGTTAAACTTGCTTTTCTGAAGTCTTGTCACTATTTGATAATTTTAATGGTGCTTTCTCTTGAGCAATTTTTTGTACATTTGACGTCTTGAGTCTGAAATCTGATGGAGGTAACAATTTTTTATTCTTCAGCGAGCTCATCATTTTGGATAATTTTTTTCCACTGTATCTAATAGACTTTCCTAAACCAGCTGTAACTATACCTTTCAAACTTTGCGTTAAACTAGAATGCATTACAATTTTTCTCAGACACAGGCTTAAAAGTTCGTCTGAGTCAGGATCATTAGCAATTGCTCGCAAGCAGTCCTCTGTATCTTGTGATCTCGGTCCTGTAGACCAATTTTTTACAAGCATCATTTGAGGAATTTTAGGAAGTTGATTAAAATGATGTACTTTTGTTACAGGACTAACGTCTTGTCTACAAGTAATTTCACCATTACTTCCAAGTGGAAAATCAATAAAAGGATCAAAGTTTTTTAATATTGGAGCATAAAGTTCCCTAAAATTTTTCATCTGTGGTTTGACAATATTACTTATTTTATCTTTATCTTCACCAATAATCATACGAAAGTCCCCATGATAAGACAATCCAGCTATGGTCATAAAAAATTGTTCTTCTGTAAAATGCTCTGGCAATAACAACAGTGCAACATGAACAGCAGAATGTAAATTTTGAATAAGAGCCGTTCTGATTGGAGAAATTTTTTCAGGCTCTTGTATAACTTCAACTGGCTTATGTAATCTACCGGCCAAATACAACTTGTTCCAATCCAAAAGATCTTCGACTAGAGATACTTCAGACACTACACCGTACTTTATGTTACGACCTTCAGCTGTTGTGACAAGGGTATTATAATATATTCCAGCTCCCCAAGATTCTTGAACTCTAGCTACAGCCTTATGACCAAATAACTTGAGAGGTTGAGCATAATGATGCCGGTTTTTAATCATGTTTTCAGCGTGCCAATTGTAGGGGTTAGAAACAACAAAGATTAAATCCAACATATTATTTGACGGATCACTTTTTTGTTTAAGCACACCAGATCCATAAGCAAAACAGAACTTCATACTCCTGGGGAAGTCACGAAGTACACTGCGAAGTTGTGAAACTTTATCAATCATTTTTGTTGATTTAATGTTCACTTGCACTGTGTACACCTAAAATCACCAATAATACAGTCACTAACATTTCAGAAAAGCAATTTTACACTTGTCCACTTGTTTGAAAGCCATTTCGGATATCTATATTTACTAAAATTTACCTCTACTTTAATAAATGACAAAATTATGTAAACAATTTAGAGAAAAAAACTAACCTGTATCGTCGATGTTTTGATCTCAACTGTATTGCAATGACAGAAACGAATTTCCTCGTTTATGAAGCTGAGATTATTGAAAAATACTCTATACTTTGATAATGCTTAGTTCGTGGCTCGATTAAAACTAAGCTATTTTAAACTTTGATGTGACGTTAGAGCCTTTTGTGTGTATATAGGCTTACAAACTGTCTAATTCACTTTCTTTTCAGACAAATGCGTGGGCGGCGTAACGTATTATAAATATTCGTCTGCTCCGCTCTGGAAGGGAAAACAGATTCACTCAGTGCGCGTGAGCTACATGTCGTCTTCCAGCCGCATCTAAAATTTTTAAACGTTTTAATTGTTTTACTTTTAATTTAATAATAATTCGATTTTTTAAGGATATCTCTAATCATCAAAGACCTGCTACAATCTATTTTTATTCCTAAGGCTTTCATAAAACGTAGGTCTGACCCTTTATTCACCGCAGCTGAATGGTTATTCTCTTTTTTAAAAAGTCTTCGAAAATTCATGAGAAGAGTCACACGTATTCTTTGACAAATATCTGAAACTTTTTTATTCTTTGCATTATTTGACTAAAGTTGATTTTTTCGACATGAATGATTAAAAAGTTAAAATAATTGTTTTATACGTGAATTTCTCTAGAAAACTGTTTATCTCTACCCTCTTAATTATAATTTTTTATGTCAAGTTGAATCTTAGAGGGTGAACAAATTGCCAGTTAAAGTAGCAGGAATTTCTATCACTCCGGAGAAAGCATAAACATTTTGAGCCTCCGGGCAACCTCGACACTGTTGGCGAAATTGCGTTTATCATTAAAGCCCTCGGTTCGACGATTCATCAAGCAGCAACTCAGAATCGCTGTGAACTATTGAATGTACGTTTATTAATGTTGATTAGTTTATCAGGCCTCTATCTGCGGTAATGCAATGCAGACAAGACCCATGGCAGAGCCGGAGCAAGCCCCTGACACTCTGCCGAGTTTCAAAAATCAGTTTGAAATTCAAGAGGTCATATAGACCTCCTATTAGATTTCAATCTAATAAGAACAGATACTACACTTTGATCATAGCCAAATAGGCCGTGAAAGCGATGCCGGCTGCTAAATTTCAGTGGGATATAAAGCCAGGCTTTAATTTTTCACGTTCGGATTCGATTATGACATCTAGCGGTTGAATCCAAAACTCGCGTCGCCGCTTGTTTCGCAGCTGTACTTCAGACAGGCATAATGAAAGACTTGCTAAACAGGGTTTTACTCCGTAGACCGTTTGAAATAAAGTAAATTAAATCCAATTAGAGAGCCGTGCTCATCTTTCAAAAAAAAAATTTGTTCGAACATTTTTAAAAAATTTAACACGTATTCTTAATTTACTCCGAAGAATTTTTTTATTGAATTCGCTTTGCAGAAACCTCTGCGATTGGCTTCAAAGTGATCTTTTGAATAAAAAGGCCGTAGGAAAAAATCTGTTTACAGATACAAAAGCTAGATTAAATCGCGAAAAAATGTAAAATAGAGTCGCTAAATTGTACTGAAATAAATTGCAATTTTTAAAAATTATAAGACTGAAGTCGAAAAATGTTATTTTACCATTTTATACGAGATCGATTTTGCATCAAACAATATGGACTTTGACATTACCCTTACGGAAATAGTTATTTATGTAACAAGTGCCCAAAAGGCGTTTTTGGGCACGAGTGTGCGGAAAAAGACACGAGTGCCGGCTATGCCGGCACGAGTGGGTGTTTTTTCCGCACACTGTGCGCAAAAAGCTGGGCACGTGTTGCATACAAAATTTTATGCAATAGTAGACGAAAAGTACTTTCATTTAAATGAGACGTTTTACCGCACACCCGTGTCCAAAATGGGGCATTTTACCGCACATAAGTGTCCAAAAACGCTTTTTGCGCACTAAAAAATGTGCGAAAAAAGACATTTTTCGTCATACTATTGCATAAAGTATCTTTTCTCACATGATATGGATAAGGAAGAAAATTATGTTCAGTATATAATTTGAAAATGTAAAGTATAATTTTAAATGACTTTTCGAATACATCGCAGTTATGAGGTGCTTTCGATCAGTATGCACTGAATTATTATTAACTCCGAGTTTCCTCTTTCGTGTAAACGTCTTTTTGCATGTATTATGTTTGTATTTTCGATCATTATGTACTGAATTAATGTGCAAGTAGAGATAAGGCTTGCGTTTAAATGTCTTCCCATAAGTGTAACATAGGTAAGAAACATAATTACAATGAATTTATCTTAGTGGCATGATGAAAATTGAAGAGATAATGCAGATTAAGAAATCGAAACTGCGTTGGGCCCAAACGGTCGGGGCGAAAGTAATTCGAACAATAAACAAGAGACAAATATTGATGAAATCTCGACCGACAGTTGGTTCAATCTTTTCAATATCTTTGTTTCAACGACATAACATGCAGCAATAAATCCAAATCTAATAACGACATTTCATTTGACAGGAAAAAGTACGAAAAAAAATGAATTTACAAAACAGATATACCCTTGTAGAAAAGTTGGCAACCAATTCGACTACTTACTGATAATCCCGATTTTTAAGGTAAAAATACTTCAAAAATCCATAGATACCTGTTTTTAAACTCAGTTGCAAACTATATTTTTTCAGATCCCAACTACTCTAGAATAGATATGTGTAAATATGTTTTTCTGAAATTTTATTAAAAATTGTGTCAATATTATTGTTTTACTTGACTCTCTAGTGTTCATAACGAACTGCTTATTACTACACTCCGTAAATTTTTTGCCTAAGTTGGGTTCCAGCAGCTCTTTATGTATAACGAACAGTTGAGAATTTTTTTCAAGTCTCATTTGAAGCTGTGAAAAGGGCAAATTTTTCATGGGATACTGGATTTTTGATAAACTTCGATCAAAAATGCACTAAATGAAAGATTTTGATGAAGATTTTGACGTGATTGATAAGAACAATGAGTTTTTACAGAAAAAATCAAAGTGAAAATCACTTAATATTTTAATTTAAATCAAAAAATTTTTTCTACATTTCTTAAAAATCAGTAATAGCTCTTGTATTTTGTTCATCCTTTTCTCATGTAGGTAAGAAATGTTATCAATCCAAAATTTTATATTGAAGTTCTTCGTATTGCGTGAGTGGCAAATAAAAGTCTGCGTGGGGGCGGCTATTTTTCTATTCCGACACTGCGCTGATGCATCAAATCATTATGCCTCTATTTTATCAATGAATAAAGAATCGGATGTCAACATTTAAGAAGAAGTATGCAGAAGAACAAAGAAACTCGTCAAACTTTATAATATCTTTGAGGAGGTTGTCACAATTATGCCGCGAAGCAGCCGGCGGTGGGACACAATCTAAGCAACACACACGATCTTGCGAGTCGCTCGTTCAGAGTACACGATCCTGGTCGATGTTGCGCCTCTTCTGACCGTAGACGATTTTTCGGCCCACCGACACGCTTCACATTCCATTACTTTTTCTTCGCGGCTTCACAGGTGGGCAACTCATTTTTCGATGCCTTACCAAACTGCTTTGGTGTTGGACGGCTGCGTTGCAACGGTCGCATATGAAATAAGCCTCGGGTGCATTTTCCCCTCGAGAAACCTCAGCAGGTTGATTTAGTTCAGAGCTACTTTTACGCCGTGTCGAACGAGTCTTGTGCTTTTGTATCGCATCGGTCTCGGCTGCTTTTTCCCGTCGAGAAACATCAGCATTCGGTTTAATCTCATTCTTCGCGTTTGATCTTTTTATTCGAGGATCATTTAGTGCAGTCCTTGGTTTCTTGGCTCTTGGTTCTATTTGGTTCAACTCGTTGATCGAGTTCTCTTTGCTTTCGGTATCTGCCGTTGCTTCTTCTGTAGTAGACTCGCGTTGGGGATCTTGTTCTGCCACTTCCGCGGCCGTCGTCGAGCTTGGTTCATCCCAATGGATCTCTTTTTGCTCGTCTTGCGAGGTTGATTGACAATCCATCGAGCTACTTTTACGCCGTGTCGAACGAGTCTTGTGCTTTTGTATCGCATCGGTCTCGGCTGCTTTTTCTCGTCGAGAAACATCAGCATTCGGTTTAATCTCACGCTTTTTGTTTCTTTTTATTCGAGGATCATTTGGTGCAGCCGTTGGTTCTATTTGGTTCGACTCGTTGATCGAGTTCTCTTTGCTTTCGGTATCTGCCGTTGCTTCTTCTGGATTAGACTCACGTTGGGGATCGTGTTTTGCCACTTCCTCGGTCGTCGTCGAGCTTGGTTCATCATACTGGATCTCTTTTTGCTCGTCTTGCGAGGCCTTTCGACGATTTTTCGAGCTCCTTAGATGCTTTCTTAAAGGTTCGTTATGTTTGTAAGGCCTGCCGCGATTGTCGCAAGTGAATTGAGTCTTGGCTGCTTCTTTCCGTCGAGAAACATCCGCATTCGGTTTAATCTCACGCTTTTGGTTTCTTTTTGTTCGAGGATCATTTGGTGCCGTCCTTGGTTTCTTGGCCCTTGGTTCCATTTGGTTCGATCCGTTGATCGAGTTATCTTTGTTCTGGGTATCTGCCGTTGCTTTTTCTGGACTAGGCTCGCGTCGGATATCGTGTTCTGCCGCTTCCTCATCCACCGTCAAGCTCAGTTCATCGCACTGAATCTCTTTTTGCTCGTCTTGCGAGGTTGATTGACAAACCATCGATCTACTTTTACGCCTTGTCAAACTGGTTTTGTGGTTTTGCATCACATGAGTCTCGACTGCTTCTTCCTGTCGAGAAACATCAACATTCGGTTCAATCTCACGCTTTTTGTTTCTTTTTATTCGAGGATCATTTGGTGCAGTTCTTGGTTTCTTGGTCCTTGGTTCTGCTTGGTTCGACTCGTTGATCGCGTTCTCTTTGCTTTCGGTATCTGCCGTTGCTTCTTCTGTAGTAGACTCGCGTTGGGGACTTTGTTCTGTCTCTTTCTCGGCCTTCGTCGAGCTTGGTACGTCACACTGAATTTCTTTTTGCTCGTCTTGCGAGGCTGTTTCACAATCCATCGAGCTACTTTTACGCCTTTTCAAACTGGTTTTCGGTGAGAAATCTTCGTCGCATGAGTCGCGTATCACATCAGTCTCGGTTGCTTCTTCCCGTCGAGAAACCTCAGCACGTTGATTTAGTTCAGTCCTCGATTTCTTAGCCGTTGGTTTTTCTGCTTGGTTTGACTCGTTGATCGAGTTCTCTTCGTTTTGGGTCGCTGCCGTTGCTTTTTCTAAACTAGGCTTGCATCGGATATCGTGTTCTGCCGCTTCCTCATCCGCCGTCAAGCTCAGTTCATCGTACTGAATCTCTTTTTGCTCGTCTTGCGAGGCTGTTTGACAATCCATCGAGCTACTTTTACTCCTCGTCAAAATGGTTTTGTGGTTTTGCATCACATCAGTCTCGGCTACTTCTTCCTTTCGAGAAACCTCAGCATGTTTATTTAGTTCAGTCCTTGATTTCTTAGCCCCTGGTTCTATTTGGTTCGACTCGTTGATCGAGTTCTCTTCGTTTTGGGTCTCCGCCGTTGCTTCTTCTGTAGTAGACTCGCGTTGGGGATCTTGTTCTGTCACTTTCTCGGCCTTCGTCGAGCTTGGTTCATCCCAATGGATCTCTTTTTGCTCGCCTTGCGAGACTGTTTGACAATTTATCGAGCTACTTTTACGCCGTGTCAAATGAATCTTGAGCTTTTGTATCGCATCGGTCTCGGCTGCTTTTTCTCGTCGAGAAACATCAGCATTCGGTTTAATCTCACGCTTTTTGTTTCTTTTTATTCGAGGATCATTTGGTGCAGCCGTTGGTTCTATTTGGTTCGACTCGTTGATCGAGTTCTCTTCGTTTTGGGTCTTTGCCGTTGCTTCTTCCAGACTAGACTCGCGTTGGGGATCTTGTTCTGTCTCTTTCTCGGCCTTCGTCGAGCTTGGTTCGTCACACTGGATTTCTTTTTGTTCGTCTCGCGAGGATGTTTGACAATCCATCGATCTACTTTTACGCCTTGTTAAACTGGTTTTGTGGTTTTGTATCACATGAGTCTCGGCTGCTTCTTCCTGTCGAGAAACCTCAGCAGGTTTATTTAGTTCAGTCCTTGATTTCTTAGCCTCTGGTTCTATTTGGTTCGACTCGTTGATCGAGTTCTCTTCGTTTTGGGTCTCCGCCGTTGCTTCTTCTGTAGTAGACTCGCGTTGGGGATCTTGTTCTGTCACTTTCTCGGCCTTCGTCGAGTTTGGTTCGTCACACTGAATTTCTTCTTGCTCGTCTTGCGAGGCTGTTTGACAATCCATCGATCTACTTTTACGCCTTGTTAAACTCGTTTTGTGGTTTTGTATCGCATCGGTCTCGGCTGCTTTTTCTCGTCGAGAAACATCAGCATTCGGTTTAATCTCACGCTTTTTGTTTCTTTTTATTCGAGGATCATTTGGTGCAGCCCTTGGTTCTATTTGGTTCGACTCGTTGATCGAGTTCTCTTCGTTTTGGGTCTCTGCCGTTGTCTCTTCTGTAGTAGACTCGCGTTGGGGATCGTGTTTTGTCACTTTGTCGGCCTTCGTTGAGCTTGCTTCGTCGCACTGGATCTCTTTTTGCTCGTCTTGCGAGGCTGTTTGACAATCCATCGATCTACTTTTACGCCTTGTTAAACTCGTTTTGTGGTTTTGTATCACATGAGTCTTGACTGCTTCTTCCTGTCGAGAAACATCCACATTCGGTTCAATCCTACGCTTTTTGTTTCTTTTTATTCGAGGATCATTTAGTGCAGTCCTTGGTTTCTTGGCGCTTGGTTCTATTTGGTTCGACTCGTTGATCGAGTTCTCTTTGCTTTCTGTATCCGCCGTTGCTTCTTCCGGACTAGACTCGCGTTGGGGATCTTGTTCTGTCTCTTTCTCGGCCTTCGTCGAGCTTGGTTCGTCACACTGGATTTCTTTTTGTTCGTCTCGCGAGGATGTTTGACAATCCATCGATCTACTTTTGCGCCTTGTCAAAATGGTTTTGTGGTTTTGCATCACATCAGTCTCGGCTGCTTCTTTCTGTCGAGAAACCTCAGCAGGTTTATTTAGTTCAGTCCTTGATTTCTTAGCCTCTGGTTCTATTTGGTTCGACTCGTTGATCGAGTTCTCTTCGTTTTGGGTCTCCGCCGTTGCTTCTTCTGTAGTAGACTCGCGTTGGGGATCTTGTTCTGTCACTTTCTCGGCCTTCGTTGAGCTTGCTTCGTCACACTGGATCTCTTTTTGTTCGCCTTGCGAGACTGTTTGACAATTTATCGAGCTACTTTTACGCCGTGTCAAATGAATCTTGAGCTTTTGTATCACATCGGTCTTGGTTGCTTTTTCCGGTCGAGAAACATCAGCATTTGGTTTAATCTCATTCTTCGAGTTTGATATTTTTAATATATCACGCTTTTTCTTTCTTTTTATTCGAGGATCATTTGGTGCAGTCCTTGTTTTCTTGGCCCTTGGTTCGATTTGGTTCGACTCGTTGATCGAGTTCTCTTCGTTTTGGGTCTCTGCCTTTGCCTCTTCTGGATTAGGCTCGCGTCGGATATCGTGTTCTGCCACTTCCGCGGCCGTCGTCGAGCTTGGTTCATCGCACTGGATTTCTTTTTGCTCGTCTTGCGAGGTTGCTTGATAATTCATCGAGCTACTTTTGCCATCATACGATGCTCTCCTCAATAAATTAGGATCTATTACTTCATATTCCTGTTCTACGAACATATCCGTTTTGAAAATGTCAAATTTATTCCAGATGTCATCGATATTTTTAAGTGGTATTCGGTCATTCGACTTACTTTCCTCTCGAATAGTTTCACCCGATGTGGCTGCGTATTTTTGCAGTATTTCTTCAAGTTCCTGCTGGCCACCAAGTTCATCGAGAAATATATCCATTGCTTTTGATCGGTAATACTCGTCGTCGGCCATGTTCTGAGCCAACAGATTGCGTTCAATAAAATTGACTTGCATTGATTTATGGAATTTGTTATAAACCTCGGTCACGTGAGCGTCGATAATTTATGAGAATGAAAACAAGTGGCGCGTGCTCTGTAATACGCTTATGTTGAATATATAACTCCTTTTTTCCAAGCAATTGTACACTGAGCTGGCCCTGAAAATGACAATAAATAACACTAATAATCGCTCGACGGACACTCAACTACAAAACGAAACAGAATGTAATGGCACTGTTGATGAACGCCAAATACGTATGGTCGTGATTCAACGGACACGATTGACGGTTTGAGCAAGACTGATTTTACGCGGCAAGACGTAAATCGACTACTACGCCGACTTACAAAACGATTCGTTTCCCAGCAGAAAACGTAAACACAGCGAATCAGGGACTTTGCCTATCCTAGCCATTATATATGGGCTATATCGCGTCAACTGTCCCCTCTCTTGGATCAGAGTTGTAATTTGATTTTTCATATTTTATTCTGCTTTCCAAGGGTGAATATGAAAAAATGATTGAAACATGATTTTTTATGTAAAATGTGATGAGGAATTCAAATTTTATGTCAAAAATCATATTCATAAACCCCAAGAACCTTAATTTCTAAATTTCAGCCTCAGTGGCAAAAATAAACATGTTTGTATCCAGTGATATGGCCAATATTGTAATATGTTCATCGATATACCAAAATACAACTTCTGATAAATTTTGGTCATCGGCAGACAAACAGACTTCATTATTGAGCTTCATATGTGTCAAGAATAGAGGAAATATAGACAAAAATCATGTTTTATTGACTCATATGAAGCTCAATAATGAAGTCTGTTTGTCTGCCGATGACCAAAAGTTATCAAAAGTTGTATTTGGATTTAAAGAAGAAAATATTACAATATTGGCCATATCGCTGGATACGAACATGTTTATTTTTGCCACTAAGGCTGAAATTTAGAAATTAAGGTTCTTGGGGTTTATGAATATGATTTTTGACATAAAATTTGAATTCCTCATCACATTTTACATAAAAAATCATGTTTCAATCATTTTTTCATATTCACCTTTGGGAAGCAGAATAAAATATGAAAAATCAAAACAAAAAGAGGGTGGGGGGTGGGGGGCGGGACAGTTGACGCATACTATTGTTATTAATGACGCGTATGTTATACAGATAGGTGTCGCTCAGCTGTGTTTATGTTTTTCGTTGAGAAACGAATCGTTTTACACGTGGTGTACTCTGCGCGGGAAAATGATGAATAGGGCTTTTTTTACCATGGCACAGCTCGTTTTAGGTAGAATCCTCCGGATATTTTTCAAGTTTCCTAAACGTAATTCGATTGAGGGTGCGTGGAAAGCAAAGGCGTGAAATTTGACCTGTTGAGCGTGAAGGTGTAGAACAACTGGAACGCATTATATCATTTTTTGAAATACACCTAAAATTTAAGGCATTTCGCACGTCTCGCGATTTTGATGTACACAATACGATAATTCTATATAAACTCGGCAACAAAATTAACGCAACAAAAAATTTGATCGAAATTTTGTCGATTTTCAAATGCTTTTATCTTGGGCTATATTGATCGTATCGACACGGCTTTTTTTTAATTTCTTGGAAATTTTGTCCTCTTTAAAACCATATATATAATGATTAGATTCGAGTCAATATCGAGTTACCAGTAGTATTTGAGCGCAACACGTAAAATTACTGAAAAAAATTGATTGTTTGAACGTGTAATAGTACCACAGTAATTTTTTATTGAAATCTAACGTACACTACCGCAAAGTACTCTTTTTAACGAGTAATTTAAAAAAAAGAGCTCTCTACGATTTTTTAAACACCCTGTAAGTCGTTTTGAAGGTACGATTTGTGTACCCAAAATGCTCAGAAAATCGTGTTGATTTCAGCCCTACGAGGGATTTTACATACTTTAGGCCGAGAAGCGATAAGTATATTAAAATTTTCACATCACAGTTCATGTGTTAGCTAAAATTCCAGCAACAAATAAATAAAACATCACGTAATTATTAAAAAAAAATGCGAAACAAGTTACTAAAAAACAAGTTTCAAAAGCTGGGTCAACTAGGCAAACTAAGCTAACAAGGAGACCACCCCAGCTACGGGTCATGGATTTGTTCCAAAATTATTTTGGGGTCTCCTGATACACAATACTGAAGCTCTGTGTGCTTAGTTTGATCTCATGGACCTAAGGGCCCATTTTTCAGAGGATTTTCCACATTATAAAAAAATCTTTGTTAATTTCTATATCGATATAGAAGTACTGAAACGAAAAAGTGCAACGATAAAAAGTTTTAAAATTTTTCAAAAAATCTGCTTGAATTTTTTCAGAATTTTTGGGACCATTTATTACTTAATTCAAGAGGCCCAAATTTGACGCTTTTTTTATAGATTTTAGGACTTCTCAAAGAGAGTGGTAGATGGTCCCAAAAATTCTGAAAAAATTCAAGCAGATTCTTTGAAAACTTTTGAAACTTTTGATCGTTGCATTTTTTCGCTTAAGTACTTCTATATCGATATAGAAAATAACAACAATTTTTTTATAATGTGGAAAATCCTCTATAAAATGGGCCCTCAGGCCCATGAGATTAAACTAAGCACAGAGAACTTCAGTATTGGGTACCAGGAGACCCCAAAAAAATTTTGGAGCACATCCATGACCCGGAGCTGGGGTGGTCTCCTCGTAAGTAAACAGAGGACAAAGAAAAAAGGCGAAGATGTTGAGAACAATTCAATAAAAGTGGGAGTCCAAATACTGTTCGGAAAGTCGGCAAAAGTGAGATATAAGGACCAGGCTTTACTTTTTGACGTTCGGATTCGATTATGACATCTAGCGGTTGAATCCAAAACTCGCGTCGCCGCCTGTTTCGCAGCTGTACTTCAGACAGGCATAATGAAAGACTTATTAAAGAGAGTTTTACTCCATAGAGCATTTGAAATAAAGTAAATCAAATCAAATTAGAGAGCCATGCGCATCTTTCAAAAAAAAATTGGTTGGTAATTTTTAAAAAAATTTTCGGATCACTTGAAAATTTTTCAAAATGACCAGAATTTAAAATATCCAAAATGTTCAAATAAAATTCTGAAAAATTCGCACGTAATCACTAGTTTCCAAATAAAATATGAGTGACTTTTTATATCGCTGATCGGTATGAATCCACCATTCTAGAAATATAGCGGGTAGATAGAAATCGCAGCAACACATTTTTTGAAGGTTCAGAGAGAAAGGGCACGATTATTGGTGTTATCAGAATCCTCTGTAGGCAAGGCGAAGTAAAAAATCGACTTTGAAAATAAATTTTAATTCCAAAAATCTCGTTTTTTTTTATTTGCAAAATAAAAGGTTATAATGTTTATTTATCGCAAGAATAACACCGGATTATGAAAGAGCACACCCAAAAACCCATGGGCATGGATATTCAAGAAAATATTTTAACTTTACCCATGATTTTTTTTCAATGGAAAACTCATGCCCAAAATTGCACTTTTACGCACTTATGAAAATTGTTAAATAAATAAATACAAAGAAAATGGCAACAAATGATGCAGTAAAGGAAAATATAATTGATTTGAATACACTCTTAAATTAACTTAATGCATTAGTTCTAAATATGAGATTCACTCATCACGTTCGTCAACTTAACAATCTTCATGAATTGTTCTTTTATGTTTGGTTAAAGTACCTAATTGTCCGAATTTCTTTTGGCCCTTGTCACAGGCAGACCTTTGTGGACTGTTTTTTGGTGGTTGAACAAATCATTTTTATATGCAAATTTTTTCTCGCAATTGTCGCATACGTAATCTTTGCGACCTTCGTGTACTACCCGTAGGTGATTAAGTAAATTCACTTTTTGTGTAAATTTCTTCTTGCACACTTCGCATTCAAAATCTTTGCGACCTTCGTTGACTGTTTTCTGGTGTTGGAGCAAATGCGGTTTTTGTCCGAATTTTTTCTCACAGTTATCGCATGTGAAATCTCTCCGACCTTCATGTATCTTTTGGTGTTTGAGCAAATTCGATAGATGCCCAAATTTCTTCTCACACCGGTCGCATGCATAATCTTTTCGACGTTCATGTACTGTCTTTTTGTGCCTGAACAAATCTATCTGATTTTTGTTTAAATTTTTTTTCGCATTCATCGCATGCAAAATCTTTGCGACCATCATGTATCGTTTTTATGTGTATGAATAAACCCCTTTTTTCTGTAAATTTCTTCTCACACCTATCGCAAGCAAAATCTTTGCAACCTTCATGTACTGTTTTTTGGTGGAAGAGCAGAGTCGATTTTCGTCCAAATTTCTTCTCGCACTTGTCACATGCAAAATCTTTGCGACCTTCGTGTATTTCCCTTTGATGGCAGAGCAAATGCTGTTTTTGACCAAATTTCTTCTCGCATTTGTCGCATGTGTAATCTCTTTAGTCCGGGCGCCAGCTATGGGTCGAGTATGCATTTTCAGGTCCTTAAGGTAACCAAAGCTTTTTATAGGTTTTTTGGTGTGCTGAATCGATTTAGCTTGGTTACCAAGCGTTAAAATTGGTATTTTAAAAGTTATTAACAAATTTATTGTTTATAACTAAAAAAATTTGTTTAAAAAAATCTGAAAAAATTCACACGTATTCTTTGACTAATTCTAAGACTATTTTGTTCTTTGCATTTTTTCGTTTTAGGCGTTCCTTAACGAGCTAGAAAATCGCAAAGTTATTTTTTTACGCACGAATTTGTTCAGAAACCATTCATATTTTCAATCTTTGCGATTTTCTAACTTGTTAAGGAACGTCTAAAACGAAAAAATGCAAAGAACAAAATAGTCTTAGAATTAGTCAAAGAATACGTGTGAATTTTTTCAGATTTTTTTAAACAAATTTTTTTAGTTATAAACAATAAATTTGTTAATAACTTTTAAAATACCAATTTTAACGCTTGGTAACCAAGCTAAATCGATTCAGCACACCAAAAAACCTATAAAAAGCTTTGGTTACCTTATGGACCTGAAAATGTATACTCGACCCATAGCTGGCGCCCGGACTACTTCGACCCTCGTGGCTTGTCTGTATGTGGGTGAGCAATTTCCTTTTTTCTGTAAATTTCTTCTCGCACTTATCGCATGGGTAGTCTTTGCGACCCTCATGGGCTATTCTTATGTGCAAAAGCAAACTCGATTTATTTAAAAATTTCTTCTCGCAATTGTCACATACGTAATTTTTGAAGACGTTGTGTACTGTCTTCAGATGGAAGAGCAAATGCGATTTATTTCTAAATTTCTCCTCACACTTGTCGCATACATTATCT